AGGGGACAACAGTTATATACATGTTATAATTGACAATTCATAACATATGTACAACTGGCTAACGGAAGAGGTTTATATGATAAATAAAAAAATAACTTTCACCTAAAATTTACCTGTACACAATTGGCGCAAATGAAAGACAAAATCGGCGCAAGTGAAAGAAAAAAAGTGAAATGCAGATCGGCGCAAATGCAAAAAGCCGAGTTCAAAATTTATATTTTTATTATTATTTTTATTAGAACGGAGGTTACAGATAGTGTAGTATCTTTTGTGTCCATTTGTGTTTAATTTCCACTAGGTATCAGTGCGACGCTTAATTCCACTTTTCTTGGAAGACGTAATTTTAAGCGTACACCATGTTGGAATCCGTGAAAAACGCGAAATAGGACGTTATAATTTGACGTTTTTTTCATGGCTAGAAACAACGTCATAGAGCTTTTATGTCACTACCAAGTTGCGTTAGTTGATGCGCATCAACAATAGGCTGTTTGGTCTTTAAACGTTACTTTCCTTGTGTTAGTATGTTTGTAACGTGACGTTACCAATGTCAGTTTTTATATTGTCATTTTGTTTACTATGTATGTTTACCAAGAATATCTTCCGTATGAAAGGAGTGAAACTGGTAGAAATTATGTAAACGATTTTAAATACAACGATTTATATGCATTTTCTTCTTTTAATATTTCCTATATATATATATGAACTTGCGCGGTTTGCAATTGAGATTTTTACATGAATATATATGAATGAAAAAATTATGTCGAGCGCAGAAATATATATTTAAGAAAAAAAATAGATTAGAATTTTTTTCCTGTATCGCCTTCATCCTTCTATAGGGACCTATCAATATTCCGGCAAAGTTGATAAAAGAAACGTCGCCGTAGATTAGACTACTTCGTTCAGTTCTATAACTAATGCATTAGGCGTTTACAGTATTTTATGAAATGTTGTTCCATTTCATGGCGATACATTTTGTACCCCTTGTTACACTTGAAAAATGAAAATATTTTAAATTTTCCATTGCTACATCTAGATAAAAAACGAGAAACGAGAAACACTTATGAACCACACCAACAAACGACAACCACTGAACAACAGGCTCCTGACTTAGGACAGGTGCATAAAAATGCAGCGGGTTTAAACGTTTAATAGGCGCCAACCTTAACCCTAACCTGAAACAGTGGTATAACATTAAAACATAAAAAGACACACAATAAAATACCAATTGGAATGGCTTAACTCGAACAAAAAGACAATACACAAAAAACAAGTAAATATACACTGAACGAATAAGTTTGATCTATGACACAATATAAATAAAAAAGATGTTTCAATGTCAAAAAAGACAACTTTAACCTAGGACAAAAATGGCGTTAAATAAAGTAACGTGTTTGCATTCACTATGCATTAATGTTCATTGTGGAAATATTTTACGCTGCCAGTTTCAAGGTAATTCTATTCTTTGGAACATACTCAGCGTCTAGTGTCACCACAAATTTTAACTGAAAAAGCCTTTCGTATCAAATTTATCTCTTAGCAAGAACCTTTTCAAACTCAATTCGCACATCCTATTTTTGCCATACAATACCATAGGCAATAGAAATGGGGAATGTGTCAAAGAGACAACAACCCAACCAAAGAGTAGAAAACATCCGAAAGGCCACCGATGTGTCTTCAACGCAGCGAGAAAAATCCCGCACCGGAAGCGGGCTTAAGCTTGCTTCCAAACAACAGTGTATACTAGTTAATCGAAATGGACGGTATATTTCGTTTTGTATGTAACGGATGAAAGGAGTGAAAGATCCGATATTGTTGAGGATCGGTCTTAAAAATATATATGTATAATGATATTTTACAGATTAACTTTCAATACAAGCTAACAAAAGAAAAGTAACTTAAACCTGAATTGGTTGTGGTATTAAACATTCAGTCAGCAGTTACTTAATATGTTATACTAAATTTGTTTCTAACCAGTAAATTTGCATGTCCATTTAATAGTAAACCTTGTACTAAAGTATACAATAATGTAATGTTTAAACTTCATCACTCAATAGTCATAATTTTGAAAACAAATGCAGGATAAATGTACAAAGGGGGGTTATTCAAAGTGTAAAACCTTGCACCAGGCCAGGCTTGTGAAAATACCTGAAATACTTCCTCTTGATAAAGCCTATACTAGTAAACTTGGTATCAAATGAAAGCTGAAAGTGCTTGGATTGTTTGTTCATCAATTTTTAATATTTCGTTTATACGTATGCAGTTGTTAGAAGTCTGTTTTCAGTCGAAGATCCTCCTGTCGGAAGTTTAAGACTTGTTCTCATATATTTTAAAATCTAAAAACAATTTCACTTTAATTGTGCAATTATAAGCATTTAAGTTCTATGTGAACCAGTTTACTAAAGATGCAGTTATTCATTAAATATAGTAACACGCATAATTAATTCATGTTCCGCTCATTCCGATTACACGTGACGGTACTTTGTGGCGCTCGCGCATGATTATTGCATCTAAAAAAATTACTGATACTTGGATTGAGTTTGAGATGATAAGACCTATACAGGTATCAGTAAGCGCTTTGGCCAAGCAAAAATTGATGAAATGTCTGAAGGAGAAGAGAAAAAAGAGAGACGGGAGATATCAAAAGGATATTGAAACTCAATAGGTCAAAAACGAACTAAAAATGCCGTGGCAAAAAAAGTAACCAAAAGACAAACAACAGTCTACAAAACAAAACATAAAAACTAAGGACTGAGCAACAAGAACCAACCAAAAACCTCAGGTGCTCCAAAAAGGTAAACAAATATCCTGCGGTGATAATTCTAACTCGGGTAGTTACCCTCTATCACGGAAATCAAAATAGGTAATACAAGCTCTGGAATATAGTTTTAAACGGGAGATGTATACTCAATATGCAATTGCAAGCGCAGCTGATATGTTGCTACATAGAAATGTAAAGTTTGCTCTCAACTGACCCTCATTGACAATTTCTAGATGAAAGTCAATATATGAGGCAGACTTAATTGTATCTGTTGTATCCTTATTTCAAGTTTGACGGGATAAATTATTTCTACAAAACCACTAAACTTTTGAATTATCTAGTGAGAGGACGTCATTTATATAGCGGAATGTGTAATTGAAGAATAATGGTAGCTTTTTTTCAATCTTCATAAGAAACACCTGTACTAAGTTTGACTCGTTTGAGTAAAGAAACAATTTGATTAGAAGATGGCACAGATTTTATGTACTATAACAAGTAGTTTCACAATAAGTCTGAAGCCCGTCTGTAATTGCTGATAACATTGATGTTCATAATTTAGAAAGAGATCTTATGGAGCACTTGGAAGACCCAGCAATATATCACTGGTGGTAAGGACACATGTGTTATTTAGGTATCCAATACAGTGAAGGAAGCCCCAGTTCTTTATCTTTTGTTGAAACTCTGAAGAAACACATAACAGACCTGTGTTTATTAAGAATTTCCTCTTTGGTAAGTGTCGTGGGGGTATATGTTGTGTTCCCAAGTGAATTGTCAATACCTAATTCTGTTTTCAAATAGTTTATGTAATGTGATATGCCATACACACACAATGTTGTTTGGGACTTTATCTGGTCATTGTTTTGATATTAACATAGATAAAACTACAACACAACACAACACCTGTTGTAATTTGCGATACAAATTCAGTAAATTTTAGCCTCACAAGAATTTAATGAAATTCTACAACAAATGAAATTAAAAAAAACTTGTTTGATATTATACCATATACACATTTTTAGTTCTTTTGTAGTATTGTACATGATATGTATTTTGTCATTTTGTATCAGGCTTAATTTAAAAACGCACAATAATCAAGTTGTATTCTAATAGATGTGTATATTCAATTGGTGTCATAGCTTTAGATATTTCTCTAAAAATTGTGTGAATTACAAGAACAGACTTATATATATATATATATATATATATTTACAACTCGTCTAAACATCAGCCCAACAATGTTAGATTTGTAAATTTGCTTTCGCAAATTTTTTGTTCTTCCCTCGCCGGGATTGTAGAGTTGTCACTGGTTCAGACGTACTTATATATTTATATATACGAATGACACAAATCAATACCCTTATTCTGTGCGCAATGCATGATACCCGACAGAAGCAACATTCTCATCGACAAGTACATACATTATATTGCATCTTCTTTTTTGCGGTATTCCATCTTTACCGCAAGTTTATTGTTTTCTGTTTGGTATTAAATTAATAGTTAAGATCCATTTTGTTACATCTGGTGATCCGTTTATTTGGCAATCGCCAATGGCAGTCAGCAGGGTTAAAAAACATCCGTTGTTCGACCTGCTAGTCAAAGCGTTTTGTTAAAACATACTTTTTCACTTTTTTGGTCTTTTGGAAAATGTTGTTTGTGCTGTATTTAGACCCCTCTACCAAGAAATTTGTTTTGCGTGCACACGTATAAAAATTGCGGTTTTTATCCAACGCAATCATAGGTTTGAACGTTGTTTTCAATTAAGACTTGGTTGTATACATTATATTTGATATACTTTGATATAAAGATTTTGTAGACATTTTATTCTCAGCAAAGTTTACACCTGAAATGCTTATTCATGACTCTAAATCAGCTTGATTGTGACAGAAAAATAAAAAGAGTTTTTTTTTATTGCATTGAACATTAGGTACAATATACTTACCATTTCTTAAACGTATCCAAAACGTATCTTTTCATTGTATATGTTGCATGTTGCATAGGCAATCCAGCAGTTAATAATTGTAGGATAGCGTAATCCGACAAACCCTTTTGAAAAAGAAAATAAAAAAAATTAAAATTGAGCATAAATAAGAAATACGAAATAAAAAAAAATGATTTAAAAAAACAACAACCACCTTTTCTAGTTTTGCTAAATGCTATACTGATGTAAGATAGCTGTATGTCATTTTTTGTATTAGTTTCTGGATAGTGCAATCTGTGTGTTATTAGAGGGTTGGACAAATTTAAAAAATATGCTCGTAAATAAAATATAATGTAACTTCGTTAAACCCTTAAAACATATAGTTTACCTGTAGAGGGAATGATAGGAATTAGAACGTCTAAAATACATTATCTGACACGGATACAAAGGGTACGTCATCCTATTCATTTTGCCCGATTCAGTGTGCGTCATTAGTTTTGATTTGATCACTCTTCTTTGTCCAGTTTCAGTGACCGATAAGGTGGATGGATAGCTGATAAAGCTACAAAAGATGTAATGACCGACTTCATTGTTTAACCAGGTAAGTTTCTGTTTGTTTATTGTAATATAATACAAAATATGTAGTGACCTATTTCTATTTTTTTTCTATACGAGTGTGTGTTGGTAGTAAATATTTGATTTATTTATAAAACAGAAGTGGCTTTATACAGCTTTATATCGATTAATATGTTATTAAAACACATGCATGTTTAAATATATATATTATTATCACGAAACAATATGTAAACATTTAAACGTGAACTGCAATACACATCTCGGTTTATTTTTGTTTATGTAAATAAACAATAACGCAATGGATATGTCGATACGCAGTGTAAATGTCTATATAGCTTACATGTAGTACAAGAAAATAGCGGGCTAAGGAATTGCTTCAAATATGATTTTCATCTCAAGAAGGGTAGTTTCTTGCACATGGATTTCGTTTCTTCTTTTATACTTTTATATATTTACCCTTCCCTCGATTCACCGTTATTTTTCTAGTTTCCGAATTTATCTAGCCTCGACGTCATGTCAAATAGTCTCAAAATGTGTTCATTCAAAAAACCTTTATTTCAAAAGGAATGTATACTAGTAGTTATTTCAACTTGTAATGATTTTCTTTTAATATTTATAGACTTTCCTTGTTATTTCCACAAAATTATGTGATATTGATATATATATGTTTCATTCTCGAATTCATTATACTTCATTTGTACATGTCATTGTCCATATTTCTCCATATGCAATACAGCTAGGGAATCTGAAGCGAGATGATATATGATCTTCTGTTTTTGACATATTAAAACATATTTAAGTATGAATTGATACACTGTAACTAAAACTTGTTATCCAACATCCTTATTTCGGCCATTAACAATATTGAAAATAAAAAAATGAGAATGAAAGAGGACACTGACTAACTTCTAAACGATTAGACAATTTAACTTTATTTTTATTTCAAACTTTTCAGTCTACTCATACGCCACTGATTATGTACTTATATTTTGGCACAACACAAGGTCATGCTTTTCCCAGACAGTTTGTAATCGTTGCTTTCGTCTAAATATATTGAATGTGTTTTGATTTATACCTACGTTGCAATTTGGTCAATTCATTAGTTGTTATTGGCTTTGAACTAGCTGTCACTATTCACGAGTACTCTTATATCGGTACTATGTGTCTCTTGTATTTATGCTAGTTGTTTTTGTGCTTCGTTTCAATCTCATGCGTATATAGTCATGCCCTATAGATTTATATAGGCTTTTTATTAGATATTGACAATTCACAAAGATGAATAACTGAAAATTTCTTCACTCTACTGGATACCCAAAGGTCTATAAAATGCTTCACGAAACCTCTTTCCTAATTATTTTATTATCTATTTTATCAGCAATCAAAACCGGCTTCATAGTTTCTGTGAAACTGTACGGGTAGTGTAAATCAGATGTAGATACTTCTAAAGAACTGTTAGAGAACTTACATTCTAAGTCCATATCCTGATGTAACAGTATTAAACCGTTTGAATTTCTACTTCTTTACACTAGTATTCCTTAGTAAGCTTACAGACGGATTAAAAGAATTAGTCCAACTTTGTTTTATAAAACATATTGCCGTAAATAAATACACTGTGTATCGAACAAAAAGTTCACTGAAATTGATATAGTCAAAATGTTGAATATTTGTATTGATAACATATTTAATACGTTTGGAGGCACTTTTGCAACATAGACAATAGACATTCCTATGGGAACCACTTGTGTTCCTCTGCTAACCAATTTGTTTCTTTATTCTAATTAAGCAAACTTCATACAGATGCTTAAACATATGAAAATTGCATTACCTTTAGCTTTACTTCTGCTAAATAGACGGTGTCCTTTGACAGAATAAAACAATGTGTGTTGACTATGTTGACTCCATCTATCCCAATGAAGGATACAACAGAAACAGTTAAGTCCGCCTCATATCTTGACTTACATCCTCAAATTGACATTTAAGGTAGTTTAGAACCAACTTTATTACAAATTGATGATTTAAATGTTCTCATCGTGAACTTTCCATTTCTTAGTAGCATCATTCAACATCATGCATATAGAGTAAATTAGGGATAACAGTAGATTATACCGATGTTCAAATTCAAAAATCCATTACGAAGATACTAATCAAGGTAAGACACAAAAACTGAGGGAATTGCAAGAATTCCAAAAGCGGTGAGACTGGGTGTATCGACAGGATAAGCTTGTACAGCTATGCTTGCATCATCCGCCATGCAAATCCACACTCAGTCGAAATATCACAATATGAAATACGACAAAATCGGTACATTTACATGTTGCTTGTCATTTTTGAACATAGACACATCATATCGGTCAATTCGTTCGGGAAGGTAATGGTAAAACTTATGTAGTGTTCTTATAACTCTGTTGTTGCAGTTTTTGTGTCAGGAGACACATCCTGTGTCAATGAGGAGACACATCCTGTGTCAATGAAGCCCATGTAGCGTGATATATACATACACCGATTATATGTGTCTGTATCTGAACGAATTTAATGTTTTCGAGGTCTTATGTCTTTAGATACCAGATAAGTAGCCTGGTCTTTAATTTTACACATTGTTCCAATTCCCGTTTGTGATATTTTGACGAAGTGTTGATTTGCATTGCGGGTGATCCATGTTTACCAGGAGACGCTTACCCTGTCGCAGCTCCTGGTCTCGTTCCTTTTGCAGTTAATACCATTCTCTCAAATTTCCCTTGATTTGTATTTTCTCAAACGACTTGTCAGCTTTGAACAAATATACTTTAAAATCAAATAAGATATCTTATGAACTAAAATAGATATCTTATAAAACTAATAGAGATATCTTTAAAAATAGATAAGATATCTTTTTACCTAGATAAGATATCTTTATAACTGAATAAGATATCTTTAAATTAGATAAGATATGTTATATATTAAATAAGATATCTCATATACTAAATAAGATATCTCATATACTAAATAAGATATCTTATAAACCAAATAAGTTATCTTATAAATAAACTATATAATATATCTTGTATTACTTATAAGATATCTTGTATTGCTTATAAGATGTCTTATTAAGTTGATAAGATATCTTATAAAGTAAATAGTATATCTTTTATACTTTTAAAGACATCTTATAAACTATACAATAAATCTTATAAAGTATTTGTTTAAAAGATATCTTTTGAAATATATCAAATATCTTTAAAAAGATATAAAATATCTTTAAAAAGATATAAAATATCTTTAAAAAGATATAAGATATCTTTAAAAAGATATAAGATATCTTAAAAACTATATAAGATATCTTATTTAGCTTAAAATATATCTTTTTAAGTTGATAAGATATCTTATAAAGTATATAAGATGTCTTATTAACTTCAAATTTAATAAGATATCTCATAAAGAATACCAGATATCTTATATACTTTATTAGATATCTTCTTTACTTTCTTAGTTATCTGGAAATTGAATAAATGTAAAAACGGCTTGCCATATACATGGTTTCTTTTGAGCATTATGCACGACTATTGGTATGCATAACATATAAGAAAAGACGTTGATACTTTCCCCGATTAAATAAAGGCAGCAGTAGTATACCGGTGTTCAAAAGTCACAAATCGATTGAGAGAAAACAAATCTGGGTTACAAACTAAAACCGAGGGAAACACATCAACTATAAGAGGAAAACAAAGGAACAACAGGAACACCGAAGTGCAACAAAAACAAACGCCAACATACATAGAAACGAACTATTTGATAACAACTGCCATATTCCTGACTTGGTACAGGACATTTTAAGAAAAAATGGTGGGTTGAAGCTGGTTAAATGGCTAGCCAAACCTCCCGCTTTATGACAATGTTAAAAAAATTATCGCTAAAATGACCTCACTACGTGACAGAAATATAGCACAAACACATGCATAAGGGAGATTGTTTGGTACCATTAAAACGTTTAATCCCGCTGCAAATGTTTGCACCTGTCCTAAGTCGGGAATCTGATGTACAGTAGTTGTCGTCTGTTTATGAAGTTCATACGTGTTTCTCGTTTCTCGTTTTTATATATATAGGACCGTTGGTTTTCCCGTTTGAATGGTTTTACACTAGTAATTTTTGGGGCCCTTTATAGCTTGCTGTTCGGTGTGAAAAAATGCTCCGTGTTGAAGGCCGTACCTTGACCTATAATGGTTTACTTTAATAAATTGTTACTTGGATTGAGAGTTGTCTCATTGGCACTCATACCACATCTTCCTATATCTTAGAACATTTAAAACACAGAAAAACGCACAAACAAATAATATAATAGTCGACACAACATGCAAACCGCAGAACAACAACGAACATATTCCATCAACGACAGACATTTTAAAAAGTTGCGATGTTGTTCATATTACTACTTCATATTTCAAATCTGTAGACACTGGAACCCTACCACAGGACTGGCTAAATGCGAACATATCTTACGTATTCAAAAAAGGAGATAAATATGGTGCCGAAAACTACAGACCAGTTTCACTAACACCAGTTCCATGTAAAATCCTTGAATAATGAAACATCTATAAAAAGAATGACGAACGAAGATACAAGTATCTTTTCTTGGGGAGGGATAAATCCTACTTTGTAAAGAATCACTCTGATTCAAACAAAAAATTCTCTGAAACTGACATTATCAAGATGCTTGATTTGTTGATTGACAACATATTTGTTACGTTTGGAGGACGTGTTTTTCAACCGACTGTCGGCATTCCAATGGGAACCAATTGTGCCCCTCTTCTTACCGACTTGTTTCTTTATTATTATGAGGCTGATTTCATACAGGAACTTCTTAGGAAGAAAGATAAGAAGTTAGCAATATCCTTTAACTTTACGTTCCGCTATATAGATGATGTTCTCTCACTAAATGATACAAAATTTGGTAACTATGTTGAACGAATCTATCCCTCGAACTAGAGATAAAGGATACTACAGTTACAGTTAAGCCTGCCTCATATCTTGACTTACATCTAGCAATTGACAATGAGGGTCGGTTGAAATCAAAACTTTACGACAAAAGAAATGATTTCAGCTTCCCAATTGTGAACTTTCCATTTCTATGTAGCAACATTCTAGCAGCGCCTGCATACGGAGTATATATCTCCCAATTGATACGATATTCCCGGGCTTGTATTTCCTATCAAGATTTCCTTGATAGAGGATTGCTGCTCACAAGGAAGCTATTAAACCAAGAGTTCCAAATGGTGAAGTTGAAATTATCCCTTCGTAAATTTTACGGACGCCATCACGAGTTGGTTGACCGCTATGGAATAACCGTTTCACAGATGATATCGGATATGTTCCTTATGTCGTAACTACAATACCCTTCCCTTTTCACAAATGTGACCTACCGAATTAGACTATTTACCGGATTTGTAATAACATAAGCAACACGACGGGTGCCACATGTGGAGATGGATCTGCTTACCCTTCCGGATCACCTGAGATCACCCCCAGTTTTTTGGTGGGGTTCGTTTTGCTTAGTCTTTAGTTTTCTATGTTGTGTCATCTGTACTATTATTTGTCTGTTTGTCTTTTTGTTTTTGGCCATGGCGTTGTCAGTTTGTTTTCGATCTATGAGTTTGACTGTCCCTCTTGTATCTTTCGTCCATTTTCTATAAAAGCACAAAGTTTTAAAACCATTAATCCGAATCTGGCTATTCATGCGAAACACAATTATTAGTCACACTAAACGACTTCATGAAAGTAGTAGTAGAAGGAGAACAATCTAAAGAAGTAAGTCGACTCTGGTGTACCACAAGGCACAGTCCTAGGACCGTTACTCTTCCTTTGTCATATAAATGACCTCCCAGACGCAGTCAGATCTTCAGTCAGATTTTTCGCAGATAACTGCCTACTCTACAGATCGATAAAGGCACAGAAAGATCATGACATCCTCCAAGAAGATCTCAATGACCTAGAAGTACGAGCAAATAACTGGGGAATAAGGTTCAACGCAACATAGAAATGCTACATTCTAAGCATAAAAAACATGAGCTAAATATTTTATAGTTTAAACGGACATATTCTACAACAAGTCCAGCATAACCCATACTTGGGCCTACAAATTTCAGAGGACCTAAAATGGACTACGCATTTTTCCAACGTAGCGAAAAATGCAAACTCAACACAAGGCTTTCTGAAACGGAATTTGAGATACTGCCCACCAGAATGCAAGAAAACAGCATATATTTCACTGGTCAGGTCAACAATGTAGTATGGAGCAATAGTATGGGACCACTACACATCTACGAAAATCAACAAGTTTGATGAAATACAACGACAAGCTGCGAATTTATAACGGGAGACTACAAATCCAGAGATGATGGTTGCGTCTCAAATATGCTCGCCAAACTGTAACTACAAGATCTACAGACAAGACGCTCAAGCCAGAAGCTAATATTTCTGTACAATGTGGTTTCTGCTATAGAACCAGACGAATATTTAAAAAAAAGCACGTCCAAAAAGAACAATTACTGCCAAGGAATTTGACAATTACCAGACAATAAATATTGTGGAAAAACAAGTCAAGAACAATACAATGTGTTTTGAGATTCCAACGAGCAAAACACCACAATATTCTAACTCATTTTTCGTAAAAACAGTGGTCGAGTGGAACCACCTTGAAGACACTGTAGTGCCCGCACCAAGCGTTGAGAGCTTCAAAACTGCTCTCGCGCACCGTCAATAAATCGACGGCGCACTCTCAACCGTTGTATTAAAACCAGTATTGGTATCCACAACGTATTCATACAGATACAGATACTAAGAAGAATTATTCGATTTGAGGTGGAATACCATCAAAACAAAACGTCATTTCCGGTGTTATTTACAAATCGTACATAAACAAATAATTATCAATTAAGTTACATTGTTTGGTAAATTAGAGCTTAAATCTAATGAAAAACAATTTGTTCTGTGTGAAACAGTTATGATATTCCACACATAGGAAAGACATAACTCTTTTTCATGTTTTGTTTATTACAAACAATGTATGACATTTAAAGTGAACCGAATAACTTAATCAGAAGGGAAGTACATTTTGTTTATTCTACTTCGGGGTAAGTTTCTTTTCTAATATGCGATGAAATGTAAATTGAAATGTTGGAAGGGCTTTGAATTCATTCATACAGAGTCTAACTTTTTTAAAACTTGAGCTAAAGTGGTAATAAAGTTTTGAAATTGCTTCATTAACATAGAATAATACGTTAATAATGTTCGTCCTAATACAACTAAACGGGTCTATGAACACTTATGCAGCACCTAACTTCAAAGACCCAAATATTACTTAAAACCGTTTTCCGTGTCCGGTAGACAACTTCCAAAATTATGCCTTTGAGAGGTTAGTGATACAATCATATTTTTTTATATCGTAATACTACTTATTTGATTTTTTAAACATCTAACTGTCTTACATATTTCCAGATGAATATCTAAGTACAAAGTTACACAAAAACTGTATACTTTTGACTGAGTGTTATTTATGTTTTCTCTTTATATTTGAATACCATTGCCATTTCCGTTATTCTATGTCGATATTAAGTAATGATTAAAGCTGTTACTACGATATGAGATTGTATATTCTAAATCCAAATTTTGAAACAAAATTTCCAAAAGAAAAAAAACAGGGAGATGTTCCTTGTGTATTTACGTTTTAAAAATTAGTGAGTAGATTGAGACTATTGATAATTGAAACGACAGTATAAAGAAAAGTTCATGTTGGTAATGGTTTGTACTAATGAATACATGCATGTGGCACATACATCTTATCTGAAATATATGTGAAAAATTATCCTATTGTATTATTGTATGTAAAAAGACCTTAATATATTAATGAATGTTAATCTGAATGTATAAATACATGGCAATACAATTATATTCTTTCCATGCTTTCGAGGGGTTTGAAGGTTAAGATTTGTCTATTAATTTTTACAAGGAAAACCCGATGTTTCAAAGACTCTATTTATTTTTTAATATTTCACTTTCGTCTTAAACAGATATCCGGAAATGGTATAAATTTGTCAAATATTAGACAAAATGGTGCCTCCGAGGTTGAAAGATCATGCCATTAGAAAATATAACTGCTCAAACGACTACTGCACGCGCACCACCACTAAGTACGTATCGAGGTGTTCAAGGTAAAATACTAGGCGATTACATATGAAACAAACCAAAGCTAAAATAAAATTGAGTGTCCACATTGAGTTACAAGTTGAACGAAAATTACATATTATTAAGTGGTTTATTCTCACTATTTTTGTTATCCTTTTACAATATGACAGATTGAAACTACTTGTTATTTGGGCAGCACGATTGTTAAGTTTTATAAAAGTTGTCTATAACTTACTATGTATTCTATATTCCCACACAATTGCATGAAAAATTTCATCTCAAAATATGTAACTGATAAATCAAATAATACGTAACATGTTTTACATTAAGACAATTTAAGTCGTGTGAATTCAATTTTCCTTCAATGGTTAAATATTTTGCACGTACTATGCAAGAACACTTTTTATTCGAGCGTCAATGTAGACGATACGCGCGTCTGGTGTACTAAATTTTAATCGGGTATCAATGCTGTTTTTAAACTTACAGTGAAAACGTCCTCGTAAATAGTAATAATGAAACTAAGTAAGGAAATAAATACAAATTTATTATAAAGTATTAATATTTTCGTCCAAACAATAAGCAAGGAGAACAACATACTATATAAGAGAGAGGCGAAAGATACCAAAGGGACATTCAAACTCATAAGTCGAAAATAAACTGACAACGCCATGACATAAAAATAAAAACACAAAAAGACAACACAGTACATAAAACACAATATAGAAAACTAAAGACTGACCAACAAGAACCCCACCGGAAGGGTTAGCAGATTCTGCTCCACAGGTGGCACCCGTCGTGTTGCTCATGTAAATACAAACACGATGATAAGTCTATGGAAGTTTCTGATAAATTTTAAAAGTTTTCACACCTTTTCATCCATTTGTCTAAATATACAACAGGGAGTTGGTACAAAATGAAAACAAGACGTTATAAATTTCATGCGTCCGAAGCGCTTTTCTGGATTTTCCTTCATCAGGATAGCTCAAGGCCGAATATTTGTATTGCTATCGTAACCTTGTTTCAATTATCTATATCTTTTAATAAGATATTACATTATTAAATGTCTGAGCAAATACTTTCATATGACACTTTACATACAGGTTTTTTTTTATCTTCACCTTTCAAATTTAAATCAACCCAAATGGAAAATATACAAGATTTTCTTATCAAATGATAATCATTATGAGTGAAACTTAGCAACTTACCAAATGTTTTCTGTTCATTGCTGAACCAACGGAATTTTCTACTGTACAGTATATACAATATCTCTGTATTAAGATTAAAAGAAACGTTAATAATTCAGTCTTTTCCATTAAAACTCGAAAACATAACCAAAGCACCGTCGATGCTGCGAACCAGCATATCAGACTTGATCACAAAAGAGAGCCATCACTGATGTATATGATTAACAACTGTTAAAAATGAAAAGACGATAAAAAGGAGAAAATAATGACAATAACTCAAGAGGGTCAATTCATGACATTTGTTTTCATGTCGCGGCCTTTTTATAGCCGACTATATAGTATGGGTTTTTCTCATTGTTGAAGGCCGTACGGATACCTAGAATTGCTTACATCCACTTCATTTGGACATTGATGGATAGTTGTCTCCTTGTCATTCATACTACATCTCCTTATTTTCATAAACAAACAACAATCTGAAAACACTTTACCAAAAAATATAAAGCACCATGTACCCAATAAAATTCCGCGTGTGACCGAAGATTCTTCGCAATGCCTAATCTTGAGTTCAAATGTTTTCAGATACTCAAGCACCAGGTTCCTCTGCGATTGATAGATCATCACAGGAAGCTATTAATTTTGTCCTTTGGGGAGCTTCCGGCTTAGCTTTGATTATTTTATTCATTCGGCTGATCATATCCATTATCCATAGAATTCGACGACGAAATAATGAAGGAGTGCCTTTCTGTAAGTCTTTTAAACCGTCGTTTCTCTAATAAAAGCGCTAGTATTACAATGAAATGTATATTTTAAGAAAGCATATCGCTTTAGAAACTAAGCAAACGCTGAAAGCAGAATAATTGTATTTAATATCTGTATCAAGAATTCAAATATCTTACCTCTAGTTTTCTTGTCTTACTTTTCATATTTTTGCGTATACTAGTACATAATGGACGTTAATACCTGGTAAACTTATCCTGGTCTCATCTCCTTATACGCCCGGAACATAAAACAAGTCTTGAACAGCCATAACCGTCTTATGTAGAAAACACCAACGACAAATTCCTGACAAGGACAGATACTTACAGAATGTGGCGGGGTTGAACATATTTGTGAGTGCTCGACCCTCCCCTCATCTTGGACAGTAGTGTAACAGCACGGAATAAGAACAAACAGTTTGAAAAGACTTGAAAAAATAACAAACAAACCAAAGAACACAAGGGTATTGCAGTTACTGTATGCCAGCTTAAAGCCAATCTAAACAAATAAATTAAATATGTTTTCTAAAAATAAAATTAAAATTTAGCTTGCATCATGTCATTCCCTCTATGTACCGAATCACCGCCTTCTCGACAGATAGTGCAGTGGTGTCGACCATTGTGTATCATATAAATTATTGTGATATATTTAAGGGGGAAACAACAGCAGATGCACAGTACAAGAAGCCCCACCTCCAAACTATTCACAGATATCCATTCGCACACTACCTCCGACATACAGCCAGGCTTGTAGAATAACACATTATCACCCATCTACAGGAAATGTGTCACAACAGACGACATCGACTGGAAATGACGTGTCGGTGAACGAGGCGTATTTGAATTACATTGCTGACACTGATTTTACTGTTCAATCTTCAAATGATAATGATGGTACTAACGACGATGTCTCCAATGCTCCTACAAACACCAATTCCGAAGCTGTTAATAATGTATGCCAAACACAATTCTCCAGTGACAATTATAGCGACAATAGTCAGTCGCGCACACATATTGAAAATGACAGCATACAGGGCACTAATGACAATATCGATGAAAGCAATGACTTTGATATACCAATGAGATCGAATAGAATGACAACAGAACTATGAACGGGTTTTGGTGTCGTCGAAGACGGACGACACTGGAGAATTTATTCTATGGATGTAATCTGATCTTTATCCCAACTAACTATAGTCAATAACAGAGGAACACGCGCCATAGATTTCTTGCCCGGATTATGTATATGATAGTTAATATAGTATTGAAGAGTTGGATTCATTGACCGGTGTTCTCTTTGCAAATGTTTATTGGTGTATATTTAAGAGTATGTGTTTATCTTTTTAGTCAGCATACATTTTTTATACAATGTTATGTTATTAATCAATAGAGTTTGTATGTCATTTGTGTTTGTGCATTGTCGGTAGCGTTTGTAAAAACTACATTTCTTACATTCCAAATATTTGGATCTGAATGTATAGATGTATAGTTTCATTATGTATTTTTTTTATTTTACTAATACAATGAAACTTAAGTTTTGGTCATCATTAGAAGCATTGATTTAGATGCTTGAACTTCATGTAAAACTCATTCGTGTTTGGATTGCATAATTTACTGATCACACAGCTTAAGATAAATATTAGTAAAACGCATTAATATTACATGCATGTATACTGTATAGTTTGTGTATCATAGGTACAAACATGAGTCGTCATAATGTGATATACTTTGTTATAGATTAATATAGAAACTGATCAAAGATAAGATAAAATAAAAACAATAACCTGTTTCTTGCATCATTACTAGTAAAGGCCATTGGGTCACTATGTTGATGAGTTGTTCTTGCAATGTCCTCTGCTAACAAAGCATTGCAATTTCAGAATCTGATTCGTGGATACATTTTTGACTTCTCGTCGGAAATTACTTGGCTAGTTTGAGCAATCGTGCTAGGAATGTTTTGGGGATTATCTGACCACAATTATGACCTTTTCAATCAGATTTGTGAACAAATATGTGAGGACTTAAAATTCTTTTGGAGCATCTTGTTTCAATTTGATAAAAATGCGGATTTTGTCATTATTCTTCAGAATAAAACCCTCCTATGGAGTTTGGAACCGGTTTCAAGACAGTACAGTTAAGAGATATGAGACATTTCTGTAACATTTTGTTGCCTCATATTATTGTGTAAACACAAACTAAGCGCACACATGTATTTATAAAAGTGATCAAATTTCCTTTTTGATATATCATAAGTTTTTATTGGGCAAAATAAGAAAAGTTTGCATTCCTGTCATGTAATGCAAAAAGTCAGATTTATTATTAGTGCGCACTACAATCAAACGATTTATAATAACAAGGAAGTACCAGATGATTGCCAATGAGACAAAAGACCAAAGGAGAAGGGTATTAATAACTACACGTCGAACATTTATTACACAAAGATTAAATGTATAATCTTAAACAATTGTATAAATATAAACATCTCGGTATTGTTTTGTTTGATCCGTCTTCAAGCAGAAACAATATTTATTCGGAATTATTTAAAGGAAATGCATAAAAAATCATCGTATATTGTTGATTTGTTGTTCGGTATGTTTCATAACCCAGTTCTTCAAAGCCTATAAAGAGAAATATTGACATATACTAAAGAGTAAATAGTATGAGTCTTCATAGATAAAAAAAAAAATCATCAAAGACATGAAAGTGTTTTTTAAATGTACAATAATACAAAAAATAACATTTGCCATTTAAAAAAGTCTGGTTAATGAAAATTAAAATACTTATTAATCATATTTAGTTATGTCGTCAGTTTTAAAAGTTTTCAATTTATACCAGAGGGGATCGAACGATGAAGACATTTGTACGAAGTGACTTAATACACCAGTGAAATACCATGTACTTTCATAATTCACCAGTCTTTTCCACATTCTAAAAGATTGTTCTACAGAAACACTAAACTGTCATGACAGTAAATGTTTTTTTTTTATGAATTTAATGCAATATTCCGTTACCTCTTGAAAAGTATACCCCGTGTATGACATGTGTATTCATTAACTGTCCAATTTCAGCTATGTGATAATAGATTTTTTTTACTTTTGTTTTGCTTTGTTCTTGTGAAAATAAAAACCCTCTTATTTCAATGTAAATATTATTATCTCGGATATTATTTTTGGTAGTGAAAAATTAAACAATTAAATTAATACTACGTTCTCCGGGCTGTAACAGTGTTTTATCCTTACTTGTATTCCATCATAAACAGGTGTGCAATACTCCTGCACAAACGTGTTCGGAAGTGGTTTGTCCAGACCTATTTTTCTACTAGCCTGTAACGCTCCTTTACCATCAAATGGTACATAGCAAAGTCTTGTCGTTAGCTCTTCCACTGGTCGCAGAAAAGCTGGACCACCAGCCATTACCTAGATCAACATTTAATCAAGTTATATTATATTATGATTAACAGATAGTTTGCTTATAATAGTATCGTCAAGTTTAAATCAAAGAAAGGTACGATAAAAGCATAACATTATGTGACAAAAATGGATTCCAGTTGTGGTAAGCATCTGCCCTTTACATGACTTGAGCAACACGAAAGGTTCCATTAGTGACACAAGAACTCCTTACAATTCCAGAGAACACGAGTTCATTCACAATAAGTGTGTGGTTGTTCTTCTTTTCGTCCGTTTTCTCTTGGCATTCTGCTTTCCTTGTTTATTTGAACTTAAGTTTTTGATTGCCCCCTTGGTGTTTTCTCCCCGTCATTGATCATACTTTTAATACAAGAGTGCACACGCTGAAATGTCTCGCCTGCTTTACTGACCATTGATTCTATGATGAAAGTCTTAAAGATGAAAGTTTTTAAAAAAGCATTACAGAAACTTAACATTTTTAAAGATCTATGACATTGAGGTCAAGGTCAGATAAATCGTGTTAGACAGACATATACACCTTACATTTTTTTATACACCAAATATAGTTGACCTATTGCGTATGCTAATTAAAAAACAGACAAAACACAAAAACTTAACATTGACCATTTAACCATGAAAATCAGGTCAAGGTCAGATAATACCTTCCAGACAGACATAAGCACCTTACAATCATTCCATACACCTAATATAGCTGACCTATTGCTATTAGTATTTGAAAAACAGATAAAAACACAAAAACTTAACATTGACCACTAAACCATAAAAATGAGGTCAAGGTCAGATGATACCTACCAGGCAAACATGTACACCTTACAATCATTTTGGTACATCAAATATAGTTGACCTATTGCTTATAGTACTTGAAAAAGAGACAAAAACACAAAAACTTAACATTGACCAATGAACCATGAAAATGAGGTCATGGTCAGATGATATCTGCCAGACAGACTTGTACACTTTACAATCATTCCATACACCAAATATAGTTGACCTAGTTCTTATAGGACTTGAAAAACAGACAAAAACACAAAAACTTAACATTGACCAATGAACCATAAAAATGAGGTCAAGGTCGGATGAAAACTGCCAGACTGACATGTACCTATTACAATCATTTTATACATCAAATATAGTTGACCTACTGTTTATAGTAATTGAGAAACGGAGCTAATCATACAACTTTAACCTTGATCACTTATCCATGAAATGAGGTTGAGGTCAAGTGAACTCTGTCTGACAGTCATGTAGACGTTGCAAGGAACCCATATACAAAATATATTTATCTTATTACTCATAATAAGTGAGAAATTCACATGAACAAAAAATTCAAATTTTTTTCAAGCAGTCGCTGAACCATGAAAATGAGGTCAAGGACAATGAACATTTGATTGACGGAAACTTCGTAGCATAAGGTATCTGCATACAAGATATGAAGCATCCAGGTCTTTTACCTTCTGAAATATAAAGCTTTATACAAATAGATTACGCCACCGCCACCGCAGCCGGATAGTCTTTCGTCGCAGGCGAGACAATGAAGTATTCATTTCGGAACTCGTGATTGTAACAAGTAAAACATACATATCATTTCATAGCGGTATAACATGTTAATTTTATTATTCTTCCCTTAGTTTATTTATTTTGTATTGACATTGTATCATAGGTCAAATTTATTTGTTCAGTGTATGTTCACTGGTGTTTATATGTCCTTTGATTGAGTTAAGCCATTTCAGTTGATATTTTATAGTGTGTCTTTCCTTGTTGTGATGTTACAGTATTGTTTCAGAAAAAGGGTGAAGGTTTGGTACCATTAAAACGTTTAAACCCGCTGCAATTGTTTGCACCTGTCCTAAGTCAGGAATCTGATGTTCAGTAGTTGTCGTTTGTTGATGTGGTTCATAAGTGTTTCTCGTTTCTCGTTTTTTATATAGATTAGACCGTTGGTTTTCCCGTTTGAATGGTTTTACACTAGTAATTTTTGGGGCCTTTTATAGCTTGCTGTTCGATGTGAGCCAAGGCTCCGTGTTGAAGACCGTACTTTGACCTATAATGGTTTACTTTTATAAATTTTGACTTGGATGGAGAGTTGTCATCATTGGCACTCATACCACATCTTCTTATATCTATATCATTGCGAGTGTATTATGCTTTGTTATGATGACAGGCGAGGATCGTGAAGAGATGACTTAACCTTTAACATTAGAAGAGTTATATATTTTGCAGATAGTTACCTAAAATCCTAAAGAAAATACAAGCTCTTCAATGTCGTATCAAATAATAGATACATATTCTATATACAGGTGCTTCTGGAATGTTAGTATATGAGAATGTAAAATTAGCAACGAGACAAATTGAAACTTTTATCCGATAAGTTGGTTCTCTGCCGGCCATTACTTCCATTATTAACGAGTAGGCCAAGGAATGGTCATACCTAACTGTTAAGTGGTATCCCAAACTTAAAGTTTCAAACAACATTATAAAACCAACTTCACTTAGTGATAGTACATTTGTTTTGTGGAATGTATAGTTGATAACTGTTTGATAGTGACTTTTTCTTTGAAAAAGTACAATTTGTTCAAATGAGAAGAAAATAAGAAGCAATGAATCTTTAGTTTGAATAAAAATAGCATTTAAAAAATAAGATTTGTCACTAAAATTGACTTACCACAACAGAACATTCATCAGTCATAGCTAGACACATCTGTTCACATGTCGTTATTCCACGTTTATTCAACATAGGTCGCATAATTTCAAAATCAGGGAATATGTAGTATCCACTTTTAGGCACGACGCATCTCACGCCAACATATGTTAATTCCCTTAAAAATTAGTATTTGAATAGATACTATAAATCAAACACATCATAATTCAACAATATGTAAATTAACAGCAGTTCAGCGATGTTCGAATATCATAAATCCATTAGACGTGTTAGGAAAGGTGTTTAAATACTGCGCTGATGTTAAATACCAATACCGATACAAGATTTAAGTGTGGACTTTCTCAAAATGCAATTGCACTGAAAAGTATCCCGGCGTAGTATAATAGTTTACCTTTGTGGTGTGTTTGATACAACATGAAGCGAAAAGTTAACGTCGACTCCAAATTTTAAGACGTGCATTGGCCTTACGTAGATATGCTTGCTGTTCGGTGTGAGCCAAGGCTCCGTGTTGAAGACCGTACTTTGACCTTTTATCGTTTACTTTTATAAATTTTGACTTGGATGGAGAGTTGTCTCATTGGCACTCATACCACATCTTCTTATATCTATTAATTGGTATTTGTTTGATTTAATAGTGCAAAACAAAACTTAACAAAAATATATGTAAGAGTCAAGAATGGGAATGACGGATTTCACGGCCAAAGGTCCAAATATATGTATTAAGTGAGATGATTAGAATATGTTTGATAGTTAAATAACTCAGTTTGTCTCTCCACAATAGATATGTCCTATTTCCGTTGCACAATATAGTTAGCATGCATTTTGTGTCCAGGGATACAGGGACGCGTATACATGTGTGGCTTAAACAAATCAGTACTGATCTGAACACATCGTTATATCTTTATATAAAAAAGTAAATAAAAAGTGGACACAAGTGGATACAGTGCTATTTCTATATAAAACTTTAAGAAGCAGGGGCTACAGAAGAAGGTTGTCTTGCTGCGCATCGTTTTAAAGTTCAAAAAAACCACTTTCCATGAGCTATATGTGATTCGTATTGTCTACTACTTTCTGGGTATGAATGCAATGAATGGATAGAGGGGCGAAAGAACGGACGTATGGACCAATTCACCCATCACTATATACCGTCAAATTTAGAAAGCGGAGTGTATAGTGAATCTAAGGCAAAACAAAAAGAAGCAAATAAAAAAAAAAAAAAAATGCCCGACATATAATTTAGCAGACTTTGTTTTGAAAGAGGTGAGAATTAATATTCCATTTTCCAAATAACCTCCTGACCCAAATATACTAATATTAACTTCTCCATATGAAAGTTTAACGCCACTTTCAACAATATCTCAATTTAATCGTGGTGTTCTGTTTTGTTGGTGGAGGCTGCCGTGGTAACAAGAAAAAAAAACAACTCCCGACCCTTCACCGAAACGTAAATTTAACATGCTTGCTAATGTCCAAACGTTGTAATCTTTTAATACTTAATTCGATAACCTCTCTTTTCCGAAAAACTAACTGATAAAAGTTGATAGAAGGAAAATGTCAGGGAAAAATGTTTTATGTGAATAAGAATTAATTCATTTAACATTATATAAAATTGTCAGTGACCTTTCTAGATAAAATAAAAATATAAAGATAATCAAATTGAAAACGCTTTTGTTTCAGTCTTTTTTTTAATTGTCAAGTACACAAATTTCTAGTTTTGTTTATTTTTAGAATTTTACGCTACTGTGTAACACATTTCTCTATTCTAGAAAATGATATAAAATAAGGAGATGCGGTATGATTGCCAAAATAGACAACTATCTACCAGAGACCAAATGACGTAAATGTTTGCAACTATAGATCACCGTATGACAGACCCCCAACAAGGAGCAAAAACATTCCCGCATATAAAAGCTAAGAAAGGCCCCGACATGACAATTATTTTTTAAATAAATTTCAAATAAACGAACATTTTGAACAAAGATTGATGTAGAGTAAATAATCGGATTGAATGTGATTTGATTCCAGTGTCTTTTTTTCTATTCATTTATTCTGATCACTTTGTAGATTTTCCTTGTAGTCGTTCAACAAAATAGTAAGAAATGGGGGAACAACGATCTTAAACTTAATCGATCCCTACTATGACACAATGCAAGAATAATGATCGTGTTGTTTTGCTTGATCCTCTTCTGTGTATTGCGGAACAAATTGTTACTATTTTATTGTTTAAAAACATCTCAACATTATCAAACAAACACTTACAGGTAACTATAATGAATGATAATCTGTGCTTTTTGAGATGGTCCCCACTATAGCCTGTGGTGGTATTGGTATTTAACATCAGCGTCAAAATCGTATTGACTTTCCTAACACGTCTATTAAGAAGATAAATAACAGTTGAAACCCACAAGGCAAGTGTGGAAGGCATTTCCACAATCATTATAAACATTAAAAGCTTTTTGAAGACTGGTTGAATTTTCTTTGGCGGGTCTATCTTTAAAATAATCAAAGACACACAGTTTTCACGTGTTTTTAGGGTTTGATCTATAACTGCTGTTGACCACTGAACATTTAAAAAGACTCCGTTTGCAAATTATGATGTGATTACTGGTCACCTGATTTTGGACATCATTAGTTCAGGACATTAATTGGTTATTATAACTTCAATATTTTGCTTTGTTGGTATTACCTTTAAACCCATACATCAGATAAGAGCTACAAATAGGCTTTCAAACATCTCCTTATTTTCATATTTGGTGGTTAATGTTCTATTGATACGCAAATTTCTGTTAATTTTAAAATCGCCAGCTCATATACAAAATGTATCAAAGCAGACATTTGGTGGATAGTTGTCGCATTGGCAATCATACCACATCTCTTTAATTTTATATAGTTAGCTAAACACAGAACTATGCCAGACTTCCCCCTTAATGTTATATTTTGGATGTAAATGCATAACTTGAATGTAGGTGTTCTTTCTTTCCTTTACCTTCATTTTTACTATCAGGTCATTTAAAGAATTTGAATTCTACTAGTACTTTTTATACGCCCGTCAAAATTTTGACGGGACGTAATTATGGTATACAAATGTCGTCTGTCCGTCTGTCTGTCTGTCTGTCCGGCGTAAACATGTCGCACCGTAACATGAGAACGACTTATCCAAATTTCATGAAACTTAACATAGTTGTTTCTTATTATGATCAAACGATCTGTATACTTTTTTGGTGAAAATAAGATTAAAACGTTTTGAGTTACGGGACTTAGTAACTAAAACTGGTGTGTGGTTTTTTTTCACATGTCGCGCCGTATCTCAAAAACAATTTATGATTATTGCTTAACTTTACACACTTCTTAGTTATATAAATCTTAAGATCTGTATACTTTTTAGTGATGGTTCAAAATTTTATTTTTGAGTTATTGAGTATTTTGTAAAAAAAAAAGGGGGAGGGGTTTTTCACATGTCGCACCGTATCTCAAAAACGATTTATGATTATTGCTTAAAATTTTACACACTTCTTAGTTATATTAATCTAAAGATCTGTACACTTTTTGGTTTTGATTCAAAATTTTCTTTTAGAGATATTGATTTTTTTTTTTTTAAAGGGGGGTAATAATAATAATAATAATAAATTCTTTATTTAACGAAGGTAACTCATTTAACATACAATTGTTAATCTCACACGAGGCCTTCATACATTAAAATGAACAATTAATACATATAACAATCAATGCATATAACACAATAATCAATAGAGATGTACACAATTACAAATTTATATACACAAGCATGAAAACAGACTGTAGAACTAGCATGGCAAGAATGTCCTAAGAAAAAAAAAAAAAAAAAAAGTTTGTCTACTAATTTTGTTTTGTGAAAAAAAGATTAGCACATTTCACCTTAAAGCTTTCGATATGACTTGAATCCTTTATAACATTTGGCAAACTATTCCAAATAATTAGACCAGAATATTGAAAAGTCTTTTTGAAGTATTCAGACTTTGGCCTTGGTAAATGAAGATGTCCAGATGTTGTTGACCTAAGAGAATAACTATATAGATCACTGCACGCAGTAAATTTACTAGCAAGATAATCTGGCGCTAGTCCATTCATACATTTAAACATTAAAATGGCTTGAAAATATTTTATCCGTGTAAAAATGGTCATCCAATTAAGTTCTTTAAACATTGATATTGATGGATAATCAAAAGGTTTATTCAAAATTAATCTTGCTGTGCGCTTTTGCAGCTTATGAATCCGCTCAATGTTGCAGTTTGCGGTAAAACCGGGTTATCACATGTTGCGCCGTATTTCAAAAACGATTTATGATTATTGCTTAAAATTTACACACTTCTTAGTTATATTAATCTAAAGATCTGTATACTTTTTGGTTTTGATTCAAAATTTTATTTTAGAGATATTGAGTTTTTTGTAAAAAAAAAGGGGGGTTTTCGCATGTCGCGCCGTATGTCAGAAACTATTTATGATTATTGCATAAAAATCAACACACAAGACGACGGGCGTATCATGCGCTCATGGCGCAGCTGTTTATTACACAAAGGTTTTTGATTTCTAAATTGTTCCACGTAACAGTTATATATGTGGTATGTAGTTGCATCTCATTTATGCCTTGTCTTTGACATTTCATATTGTTTGAAATATACATACCGCTATAGAGATGACGTGCACTCGCTGAATTTTGTAAAATGTAATGACTATTCTTATTAAACATGAAATAAAGATACCAAAGATAACATTAAATAAGCTTCATATCTTATCTTACACTTAGGCTGAAAAACAAACTTTGCGATAGAAGTGAAGAATTCGATGTAATCATCGTAAGTGTTCCGTTTTAATGTGTATCTCCAAAATGATTCAATATTCTAATGCATTGCCAATCATAATGTCCTCGATAGATGGTTGATACTTAAAAGGAAGTTATTCAACTGAGGGTTTGTAGAAATTAAGTGTGGTTTGTCTGCCGTCATATTGTTATCTTACAATACAAACACTTTATCAATGGGTCAATTACCATCGCGTGTAGAGACATGGTCATTTCTGTAGTTACCATGTCTATACACTTGACCTACATAATGGAAAAATGATACATCAGATTTCTGTTTTCAATCTATTTTAAAAGATGGATATCTGATTGTAACAGAAGTTTGATTTCCTTGCCCCAGTTACTTGGGTAAACCTCAATGTCAAAAATATCTTACTACAATGCTAAATTTACCATTGACAATAGTTTCCTACTGCCATCATAATCCTAGAACAATGCTTCGTGTAACTGTCTATCGCATCAAGATCTTGAAACATCTAAAATTTGAAGAAAAAAAGAAATTGACTTCATTGTACTCTTCAAACAATATAAAAATATTCTTGACAGGAACTTGATTTCTTTCTACGTCTCATATAGCAGATTAATGGCATATCATAAAACAATGTTGACTACTGTACCCCAACATGTTTACTTATTATATCTGTTTGTTTGTTTTGCTCACACATGTTGTTAATATAATGGAATTTTATGCGACTGTCATACAAGTGAGAGGTTAAGTAAGCTATAAAACCAAATTCAATCCACCATTTTCTACATAAGGAAATGCCTGTACCAAGTAAGGAATATGACAGTTGTTTTCCATTCGTTTTATGTGTTTGAGCTTTTGATATTGTCATTTGATAAAGGACTTTCCGTTTGAATTTTCCTTGGAGTTCGGTATTTTGTTATTTTACTTTTTATGGTACATTTCGATATCAGTTTAGTAAACCATTAGATTGACGCGTGTTCAAGCCAAAATGAACGAAATGAAATATTGATAAATTACTGAAATTTGTCAAATATAATGATAGAGAGAAATTGACAGTAAATATGTATTTTAAAGTGATTTATATTGGGGGCCTCGTTGGCCGAGTGGTCTAAGTAGTTACTACTGTAATCACTAGCCAGTCAACACTGAGGTTGTGAGTTCGAACCCCGCTCGTGCGGGTGCACTCGACTCCAATCTTAATTGACTAGGATTGTCAGTTTTCCTATCGAAGGTCGGTGGTTTTCTCCGGGCGCTCCGGCTTCCTCCACCAATAAAAACTGGCCGCCACGAAAAATAAAGTGATTTATTTAAACGACAAATCAAAAAAGAAAAACAATATAAATTTCGTGTGTCTGACGCGCTTCTTGGATTTACCTTAAACTAACCATTTGGAAGCTAGGAGTGTACACATACGTAGAAACATTGGGAGTTATATATGACTAAAGGACATAAAAAGAATAGCCAAATTTAACTACTAGAAATGTAGGTTATAAATCATATCAGTACCGAAGCACTGACTACTAAGGTGATACCCCTACCATCCCCCCCCCCCACACTCCAACCCGGGACTTCAGTCCATCAGCAGTGATATAAACTCAGTGCTAGTAAATGATAATAACACTTTATATATTTCGTGCGTCCAAAACGCTTCTCTGGATTTATCTTCAACAGGAACGCTCAAACCTTAACCATATGAATGACAGGAATGTTCAGGATAAAATAAATCTATTCAAATCTTTTGTTCATACTTCCAACGTTAAGCAAACAACATTCAATCTACCATTATTTGATTATCTGATGTCACTTTAACTTAGAATATCCTAACAACTGAAGTACCCATGTAGAAGATTGCTTTATATTTAAACCAGCTCAGTTAGAATATAGTGTAATTATTTCACTTAGACTTAAGGATGGTTAGAGTAGATTTTATAAATTTTCAATATTATGGCTTTTATGGCATTTTAACGGATGCATCTGTCTAAATATTTCCATTATAGTGCCTGGTTAAACTCGTTACTTTTCTGTACTAAGTCATGAATAGTTCAATATTTGTCCAATTGTTCTACGCATTGAAATGTTTTCCGAAGTATTAGTATATAAGAAAAATCTTAGCAGTGCAATATAATCGTTGTTAACTATACAACCGCAAATGTTTTAAAGCATAAATCTTAGACGCAGTCTTTTCTTGGGTGGTACTCAATAGATATACTATTGAATGTTTGGATATTTAGAAACAAATAACATTTTTGTGGTATTTTCATATGAATATTCGTCAACATGAAAATGCATCATGTACCACAAAACTGTTTTTCTTATACTCGACAAAAATAAGCCCTAATCACAAGATTATGTTTCTTAGCTGTGACTCAGCTGATAATCATAGATTACAACAATCATTGGATTTAAAACATTAAAATTTAAAATAAAATTCTTTCATGGTCGTTGTTTTCAATTGATAGAAAAAAAATAAAGAAATCAACACGTCATAAATTTCATGCGTCCGAAGCGCCTTTTTGGATTTACCTTCATCAGGAACGCTCAAAGCCGAAAATTTGAAAACTAAGGATGTAAAAAAAACCCCGAAACAGTTGAAGAGCTATATTACCAAAAAGGACCTACAAAATTAGCTAAATCCATCTAATTTAGGATAGGTTGTATATAATGTAGGTAGTTAAGTTCAATGTCATAATCAGCTGCCGTTAAATACAAATTGTACCAAAACATACATAGATTATGTTCGTGTGTACACTGTAGCATGCATGATCTGTTCGTGCGTACACTGTAGCATGCATGATCTGTATACTCTTTCAATTCTCTCTGCTATTTCTACTTTTGTTGGCCTTAGGTTCATGGCAACTCACAATGGGACATTTTGCGTGCCTTTATACATACACAAAAGAATATAAAATACGTGCATTGTGTTCTTCATATTTAAACAAACTGGTAAAGTAAGGATATACATCTTATATAATCTACTATGAAATGAAATGATATTACCAATTATATAAAAATAAAGATTCAGTGTATTATTGCCAATGTATGAGATAAAAATTAAGATTAAGTGTATGATTGCCAATGTATGAGACACTGTACACCAATGTTCACATGAAGTGGATGAGAGCAATAATAGACAATCGTACGGTCTTCAACAATTAGAAAAACCCATATCGTATAGTCTGTTACAATAGACCCCGACATGAAAAATAAAAAAAATATGAAACAATTCAATGAGAATGTACAGCTTCATTTCTTACAGACCATTTTATGATACTACAAATGTAACCACACACAGGTAAGTTATGCTATTATATAGATGGCAAAGACCAGCAATTAACTGGAAAAACTTCTTAAAGACTGCATTTCATTTTAAAACAAAAAATAGTTGACTTTTTGCTTTCTTATGCTGCAAGGTATGACATAGCCGTCAACATCAAGACAGTCGGTAACATTCAGATAAAAACTATTTTCCTGCACACATTTTCCCCATAAACTCGGTTAAAATTACTTCTTCACTTTGCTGCAAATCAATCATTACAAAACAGTTAAATTCATATGCTAGTTTTACGAACATGAGTTAACTAATTGTATCTTCATTGTTTATGAGAAATAGATATAATACCTTTGTAATAGCATACTGCATTGGAGCCGGGCAGCAGCTGTATGTATGGCTGGCAGCACTACGCACAGCTTTCTTCAAGGATGAAAGCTCTGTAGGGAAGACATGATAACCAACCTACGAAAGGCATACAATCTAATATATGTTTAAGATCTTTCACTTTGGTTTTATCTTTATAAATACATTGTAAATTAACTTGGTATGGTTCATCTAACTACATTTCTGTCTTTGATATAAGCCGTAATGAATACAAATTGTGAGGAATAGCATTTTATAATCACTTCTGTGAAACTTTTTTGTTACAGTCTCACTTTGTCTTTGGTACAGAGATTTTATTTTATGTTTGTGTCGCCTTTGTCTTCTGCTTTAGATTGTATTTAATGCGTGTATCAGGGAATCAAAAACGTAACCTTACAAGTAAACTTAAAAAAATTAGGTAAGGCTGTCAACCTTCATGACCATGACTGACCATGACTAACCGGTATGTACAATGTATAAACTTGTATTTAAAAATCATCAATTCTTTTTGTTTAATTGTATGAATAAAAACAATCCGTGTGTTTCTTGATTTCAGAACATTTTGACAGACCATCCTTACAAAATATAGTGTAATCCGTGATTTGAATACATACTTTTATATACGGGTCAACTTACACGCCATCCTCCAGCACTGGCCCATTTGGATAAACCCGTACTTAATATTGTACCCTCGGGATAATACTGAAAAATAAACATTAGTCAAGGTTTACACATTTCCTTCTTGTTTTTTAAGTATAAATCGAATGGAAATTTTTTTATGGTTTTGTTCAAAGGAATGACGTTAGCGCATCGTAACCAAGTGAAACCAAAATAGGAAAGAAGTATATGTAGATCTTTTGACAGTTGAAATATACCTTTAAAACTATTTACAGGTCACTGTGACATAAGATTTTTGTAAAGCACGTTAGACACAGTAGTAAATGCCTACCTTTAAAATGGATGAATGATCTTGATCATAATGAAGTCGACCGTAAATTTCATCACTCAACACAAGTATATTGTGTAACCGGAAACAATCACTGTAATAAATGCAAAAAGATGACATGTGCACAATAATTAATGAAGTGCTTGAATTTTACTTTTCAAAGTCAAAGAAGTACTTATCGTATCATAAGTCTGGGAGAACATGATTTATTTATTTGTGATTGTTCCCTTTGAACTACAAGTCTTCGGTTACTCTGAGTATTCTTCAATCGGTACTTTGTGTCTTTCATTGTTATGTTAGATTGTTTGTGCTTCGTACCAATCCTTTGAATATAGTCATTTCCAATTTTTTTAATCGATTGATATATTTTTGATTCCTTAACGTACAGTGGCAAATATTTCATGCATCTTCAGGAGGAGAAAAATTAACAATGGATACAATAAGTAAGTCCTGCAATAAGGAACGACCAGAATTAACGGCGGAAAAAAATTTGAAATGCCACTTAAAACATTAGGGTATATTGGATAGGGACATAGATTTAGCCCTGCAACTGGCCACGTATGGACCCCTCAAAGGGTTCTTAACGTGTATAGAGTGCGGCTATCTCTCTCTACACGAGGTATCGGATGTAACGTTACGTCCCCATTCTGATCAGACATTGCTGCAATTTTATACATCCCACACAACCAAACGGAGATCTTACTTGGCAAGAGTTTTCTTGTTGGTCAGAAGAAGCCAAAAAATACCATATTTCTATTCCCCAATCACTCTTGGGTGTTTTTACGTTTTTGTTTTCTTATTTTTTAACTATTGCACCACTGTCCCATGTTTGAAAAGGGGTGGTTGAGTGCTAAAACATTTATAAGCCAGGTCAGTGGCCTGTCATTCAGTGGTTGTTGCTGGTTCAAGCCTGTCATATTTGTTTTTCGTTAATTGTTTTGCTATAAATCATGCCGTTAATTTTGTCTTGAACTGCATCATATTTTTCAATGTTGGGCCTCTTTAAAGCTAACTAAACAGTATACGTTTTGTTCTTTGTTGAAGGTCGTTCGGAGACCTATAGTTGATTACATCCACGTCATTTTTGGATTCTTGTTGGTAATTATCTCATTGGAAGTCTTACCACTTCTCCTTATTTTAATAGTATCATGCAGATTATGATAAAGGGTTTTCCTCATGAATACGCTTTAAACAGAAAAGTTTAGTGTAAAATATGAAACAAAAATCATGTTTTTACCGAAACTTTACAAATGCGTCGGCCTTCTGCGTGCGACCTCTCTAAAACGTTAAGTATTAAAATGTCAGACCATTCAGCAGTGCTGATACAGTGTTGTTCTTTGTACCCGTGTATAGATGACTTTAAACACTTTGATTACCGGAAACTGAACAATCACAACCAACTGAAAACATAATCGATTAATGTCTTACCTTTAGGTTAAGGAACAGTAAATGGGCTATATCACAGATTTTGGTAAAATTTTGCATACATCTTTGGCTTGTTGAACTATAACTGAAATCAAAATTTATTTATCTCTTTATTTTCATCCATAGTTCAACAAGCCAACGTTGTTTGACAAATTTTACCAAAATCTGTGACATCTAAAATTTAGAAGATGTTGTATGATTACCAATAACACAACTCTCCATCAAAGACAAAATGACGTACAAGATCAGCAACTATTGGTCACCGTACGCTCAACAGTGATCAAAATCCATACCGCATAGCAAGCTAAAAAAAAGGCCATTTACTGTATCTTGACCTTAAATTAAATAAATTTACATTGTATCTTTCTATTAGTTATAGGCAAATTTGCATAAATGTGACGAACTTTTGTAAAGATCGATTCGACGTAGACCAAATTGTTATAACTATCTGTACGACTCCACTATCCGCCTGTCTTTTGTTTTTAAAGTATCAATATAAAGGATATTTTTGTTACATCGGTCCATTATAATACTACCTTCTTTCTCTTTTTGCAAAAATACCTACCTTAATTTTTTTAGTTCTTCTCTTGTATAACTGGTTCCTGCTAAAATATGAAAGATCAGATTTACGCACAAGAAAACAGATATAAAAACACACATGATTCAAACAACCGTTATTTTGCATATATCGTGTGGACACCTACATGTATTCAGGATATGTCGATGGTTTATCGAAACGACAATCATTGATAACACTCGCAATCAAAAGACCCATTTGAAGAATAAAAACTATGAATAAAAACAAAAATAAAACAATAAAATCTACAGAAAATGATAGACAAACGAACAAAACACAAGGTTCCACATGAGGGAAATCGTAAACTTCTTTTTAGAAATGATGAAAAATCATACAGACACTATGGTACTAAATGACCGGCTGTATCTTATCGGTACGCCTGTGTCCGCATGTCCTCATAAAACTATTTCACGCCTCTGCCACAGAAAAATGTCTGGTTGTATTGGCTTTTAATAAATTTACTAATTTACTGTTCAAGTACCAGCTTACTTCGTTGCTGACATCGATATTTTCACTGAAACATGGTTTTTACAATAATAATAGTTGATACTTTTTTTTTTCATGTGTAAAGATATATCTTACAAGAAAGCACAGATTTTGAAGGAAATGACATTCATAATGTGACGATGATATCGACGAGTATCAACCATTTATTTACGGAATTTCAAAAAATGTATAGAGCTTACGGAAGCCCATTTAGGACCTCCTAAAAATATATATTAGAATTCGAAATCGTTATCACAATTTTTTGTAATTCGAGATAACGGATTAAAATCGTAATAATGAATTTTATAAATCGTGATAACGAATTGTATAAATCGTTATAACGGATTGAATTCGTTATCACGAATTCGTAGAATTTGTTATCACATTTTTTTGGTAATTCGTGATAACGGATTAAAATCTTTATAATGAATTTCATAAATAGTTATAATGGACAAAATTTGTTATCACAAATTCGTAGAAATAGTTAATAACGAATTTAATCCGTTATCAAAAATTATACAATTTGTTATAAGATTTTAAACCGTTATCACGAATTACAATAATCTGTGATAACGAATTTAATCAGTAATCACGAATTACAATAAAAAATTGTGAAAACAAATTACACAAATTCGTGAGAACGATTTTAATCCGTAATAACGAATAACAAAGTTCGTTATCACGTTTTTAATCCGTTATCACGAATTACAAAAAATTGTGATAACGAATTTAGTCCGTTATTAGGACTTACAAAACCGTTATAACTAATTCCATAAAATCGTGATAACGAATTAAATCTGTGATAACGAATTCTAGAATTCGTGATAACAATTTAAATTCGTAATATCGAATTCAAATTACATTTTTTGGAGGTCCTAAATGGGCTTCCGTAAGTAAGAGATATAGAACGAACTTCGATGAGAAATGCATCTCTTGAAAATTTGGCAGCAAGCATTTGAGCGAAAGATGAATCTTACAGTTGTACCAAACAGCTTTAAAATACTTTCCTTTCCATTTTAACGCAAATATTAAAAGATTGAGTATACAATAATATTTTCTTGAAGTGAAAGTGTGAATTTTATATTTGATAGTCGATTTGATATTTTAAAGAAAACAAAATGTGAATATAATCTGAAATAATACGGAAGCCGAACTCCCAAAACTATAATTTGAATTTGATATCAAGAATTAAAACCGTTATCACGAATTAAAGAATTCGTTATCACAGATTAAATTCGTTATTACGATTTAATGGAATTAGTTATAACATATGACGATAATTTTTCACTTTTGTTCTCGTACTAGGAACAACAAAATTATTTATTTTGTGAAGATTATTTCCGTACTCCATGTAAACCTTACAACAAAATTATTTTTATTTACCTGTACGTTATTATTTACCTGTACGTTATTTTATTTGGCGGCATTTTGTCCACGGTTATGGTTGTCTTTCTGATAATGTTTTACATCGAACCCCCTTGTTTTATTAATTTTGTATTTACATTGTGTCAAAGATCAAATTTATTCGTTCAGTGTATGTTCACTTGTTTTTGTTAAAGGGAAACTCCGCAAAAAAATGAAAAATTGATATTTTGTTCTTTAAGCATAAAAAACCACATGTTCATAAATAAAAAACTTTTATTCTCTATGTAAAGAGATCAAAATCGATTTTTGAAATTCACTATCAGTTCTCGACATATCGCCATCTTGTCGGCATGTTCGATCTAAAAAGTCACGTGATATCTATAAACCACAAAGAACAAAAAGAATCGGGGATTTACCGACCGTGCGTTAAAAACTCCCATCATCAATTCGTGAATTGGGGATTACCGTAGACGGTTATTCGGTGTCAAATGTCTTGTCAAGCGTACGGTTGTTCTGTCAGACAAGGTTATGACAAAAGTCTACATAGTTTTCCCAATCCCACAAAAAATGAAAGAATTGTATCAGACATGGTTGTACAACCTTAAATTAACAGCAAATAGTTGCATCTATAGCAAGCACAAGTTGGTGTGTGAAGACCATTTTGAACAATATTGTTTCGAGGGAGATTCGATGGTATTTATCCTTTTTTAATAAAAAAAATAAATTATAGATTTGATGAGGAAGAACAGTTTCAATTATAAGAAAGACAAATGTTCTTGTAACAATCACTGATTTACAGAAGATTCATTAGTATGCCTCTTTTATATAAAGTGCATTGATTTGTATAAAGAATAGTTCCGTATTTAGACAAGATAATTTTTCAATTAATAAAGTTATACGATATAAAATAAATTTTTTTTAATTATGATATTTAACGGCTATTGACAAGGAGCAATGTTAGGAAGATGTTTTAGCTGGGACATAATATGTTGATATAGTATAATATTCCCAGGTTATAGATATGTAAATATCGAAATATCGGACATCTCAATTTTTTTTATTAAAAGTGTTTTTTTTTTAACTAATCTTTAAATTATATCAAATTGATACGGGATCTATTCGGAACGGTCACTTATAAAGACACTTAGCTTTACAGTTAAATGTGTGACTCTATCTGGTATGTTCGGTGAAAAATTTATAGTTTTTTTTCTTTTTAAATTATATTTACGTTATCTTATTATATTTTGGCTTCCTCCCGAATTGATAATAGGTATGTCAGAATTATTGATAGATGTCGTGTCAGAGCGACACATTCAGTTAGGTATTCCAAGGACGTATATTAGATACACGTCCCTGGGTATTCCAGTGACATCCTGTCAACTAAAAATTCGTATTACACAATTATATAATACAGGTTCATGCATGGCCTCTTTATTGAGGTACCCGGTGTGCACAGGTAACATTTATTGAACCATATATTTGTGTCTAACGTTGTTTATCTTGTGTGTGTTTGAAATTATAATTCCACCTTTTAATGAATGATGTTCTGATAATAATATTATCCACTATTTTTGCTGATAATAAGTTTAAAAAAATTATAAACATGACCTTTGAACATTTGAAATGAATATTGTTTTGTCATGATTCTGGACCATATTTTTGAGAAAAAAAAATTCTTCACGCAAATACAAGCTTTTGTCGATTGGCAAACATGCAGATATATAAAGTAATGCAGCACTTATAGTCACTATCAAAATTAATTCATTGAAGATAAGAGAGCCCCTTCTATGTCTAATGTCTCTATCTTTATAAGGATTAGGACGACATGGGAAAAAGGAGCGGAGATAGAGTGGCATAGTGAAAAAAAAATAACCGAATAGAGAACAATATAGAGAATGATCGACGAAAAGCGAAATAGTTATTGTAAAGGAGCGGAGATAAAGAGAGGCATGGTGAAAAAAATGTTTGCTTGACAAAGTTATTGCTCGCTTTGATATTTTTAGTTATACAAAATCACACATCGTGTACCTCATTGGTATTCACGTGCACTAACTTGATACTGGGAACAGTATATTAATATATATGTTCCTGCTTGATGTGTAAAGTTTCTGCATAGCATGGTTAAAAATAATTAGTATCCCATTTGTTATATCGTAGTGTCACGGTGTTACTTTGTTAAATTTATTTAGTTTGTTAATGATTGTGTAAATAAGAATAAATCTGTATAAAAACTTCATACCATTTTAGTGATTGCCTATAGGCGTTTGATTATTGTTACATTTAAGATATATATATATATATTTAGAACCTTTCATACATCTTAAAGTAAAAGATGTGTGTCCGAGTTAAACGACACAAGAACCCTGTAATACTAGTACGAGAGTATAGCATGTAAAAATTCCTACTCAATATGGTTGTATTGGAAATCTTTTCATACAGATTGACAACTCATGGTCCGACATGCATGTAATATTTGCCACATGACGCTCATAGTTCTTTCTACCATCATCATCTTATTCATTAAATATTGCTGTAAACATCGATGGTTCACGCCCAAACAAAATGGGAGTAATATACCTTCAGATCTTTTCCGTGTGAAATATATAGACGAAATTCGGTATTGAAGTGAATCTACATCTCACAAACACAATTTTTGAATTACGATTTTGAGTGAACACCCACCAAACCAACACAAACGTATGGCAAGATATAACCATGCAGGCATTTAGTTTTCGTCAGTCACAAGATAAATAATCACTCTCATAAACGTATATATGCATGCAGTTTCAAATATCAAGAACAAGCGATCGATGTCTATAAATCATTGTTAAGTCCGTTTACTAACTGTTCAGAGTCAGACATGTCAATAGTTCATTCTTGGAACCTTCATATACCCCATCCGACGATGGGAACTCTTTCTGGTAGTGTTGACAACATAAGCTTGTTTATCTGTACAAGTGGTTGCATGGCCTCTCCTGCCCCAACAAACAAATACGCTACCAGTCTGCTATCTCTGGAGCTCATCCTCAATGGCGCATATACGTCAGGAAACTTACAAGGATACTAGTAAAGATTTTTTCAAGAACAACGAGGTTGGGACGAACTGTTCTAAAATCGTCAATATCAGTAATACATTACTAAGATATGCCTTTAATTACAACAACTGTATTACTAATTTGGATTAATGACGGCTATCCTAAAAAAAATCCTCAAACAAATTAATGTATTAGCTTAGATTTATAATGTATGTATATTCATTAATGAAATAAACGATAATTGGTATTCTTTTCACAAATCATTTGTCTAAGGGATTGTCAAATGAATTAATTATGTAAGAATGAAATGTTAATTAGAAAATTAAAAAAAATCATGCATGTTGTACTGTTGTATTTTTTCAATTAAAAACTTTAAAATTGCGATAGTTTTACGATTGTTATAGCATTTAAACATCGCCAGATTTAAATACAAGTTAAAGAATTCCGGTAAAGCAAATTAAACTGATGTGCAATGATTATTAATTGGGAAATGTAACATTTAATTTTTAAGATTAAAAGTACTATTCTTTTAACTTCATATCTTAACTTTATGCTAATTGCATAGAACGTAACCGAAAATTGTTCCATTTTAATATTGTAACACTTCCGGAATTAAAAAGTTGAATGTTCATTTTCAATTAATTTATACAATTTATTTATTGTTTCTCTATTGTTATCGGGTATTTCATCTGGGTATATTAAACACGCTATACTCTTTCTGTTAATCCATTCTAAATGACAATATTCACACCTGTGTTCGCTTGAATTCACACCTGTGTACGCCTGAGGCTAAATTGCTGCAAGGTAAAGTTCAAACGAATGCTCCCCAAATCGAGAAATAAATAATGACTTTACAAAATAATATACACACTCTGTTCACAAATATTTTGCATTGAAATGGTACTCAAAGTTATAACGGTAAATAAAACTTAAAATATTTTCAGTTCAATATCAGTAAAAATGTTCTATAGATATTTTATGAAAAAATCTCAATAATTTATGAAATTTATTCGAAAATATTTATATTTAGATAACTTCATATATAGGAAGTTTTATTCAATCATTACAAAACGGTACACACATATTCATTTTCTTTCATTCTTATATTGTGGTTATTAACTACGACCAACGGTCATCTGTGCGCTTTTAATTACGTAAAATTCTGATAAGCAATTAAGACTTTAACAGATTTTATTTTTTCCCATGATTCAACAAATCGGGTTAAAACGTCACAACCCAGTGACGTAGGTCTACCAAAAAAAGTTACAAATACTTGATTTTCTCCGTTATTAGAAAGAATATAAATTTAAAACTTTGTGAATGTGTTTTTTATGTTAAGATGAACATATTTAGATGATAAGTAAAAAATCGCGGACTTTCCCTTTAATATGTCTTTTGATTGAGTTGAGCCATTTCAATTGATATTTTATAGTGTGTCTTTCTATGTTGTGATGTTACACTATTGTTTCAGGTAGGGTGAAGGTTGGTGCCTATTAAAACGTTTAAACCCGCTGCATTTGTTTGCACCTGTCCTTAGTCAGGAACCTGATGTTCAGTGGTTGTCGTTTGTTGATGTAGTTCATAAGTGTTACTCGTTTCTCGTTTTTTATATAGATTAGACCGTTGGTTTTCCTGTTTGAATGGTTTAACACTAGTCAATTTTGGGGCCCTTTATATATCTATCTTGCTGTTCGGTGTGAGCCAAGGTTCCGTGTTGAAGGCCGTACTTTGACCTATAATGGTTTACTTTTACAAATTGTGACTTGGATGGAGAGTTGTCTCATTGGCACTCATACCACATCTTATTATATCTATATAACATTTTTTATAATTTGTGATAACGGATTAAAAACGTGATAACAATTTGTATAATTCGTTATCACGGATTAAATTAGTTCTCACAAATGTGTGTAATTTGTTATCACAGTTTTTTTTTGTAATTCTTGATTACTGATTAAATTCGTTATCACAGATTTTTGTAATTCGTGATCACGGATTAAATTCGTTATAACCTTTTCTACGAATTCGTGATTAATGATTGAAATCGTGATAATTATTTGTACGAATTTGTTATAACAAAATCAATTCGTTATAACGATTTATACAATTCGTTATCACGATTCATAAAATTCGTTTGTACGATTTTAATCCATTATCACGATTTACAAAAAAAAATGTGATTACTATTCTCTACGAACTCGTGATAACGAATTCAATCCGTTATAACAATTAATACAATTCTTTACCACGATTTATAAAATTCATTACTACGATTTTAATCCGTTATCACGAATTACAAAAAAAAATGTAATTATGAATTTAATTCGTAATTACGATTTACAAAAACCTTATTCCGGAAATTCGTTATCACAAATTTATTCTGTTATAACGAATTCTTCAATTTGTGATAACGATTTAAATTCGTGATTTCAAATTCAAATATATATTTTTGGGAGGTTATAAATGGGCGTCCGTAAAATCGGTTGGTTGCTATTAGGTTCAAAGTTAACAAAAGATGTGTAATCTACTAAGATGTTGACTTACATGGATTATTTCAAAAGATGTGTTATCTATTAAGATGTTAACTTATAAGGATTATCTCAAAAGATGTGTAATCTATTAAGATGTTGACTTACATGGATTATCTCAAAAGATGTGTAATCTACTAAGATGTTGACTTACATGGATTATCTCAAAAGATGTTTAATCTATTAAGATGTTGACTTACAAGGATTATCTCAAAAGATGTGTAATCTATTAAGATGTTGACTTACATGGATTATCTCAAAAGATGTGTAATCTACTAAGATGTTGACTTACATGGATTATCTCAAAAATGTGTAATCTACTAAGATGTTGACTTACATGGATTATCTGGATTGTTCATTATGATTATTCTATTTTTGTGAATTTCATTCTCTCTAACGACCTAAAAATGCAGAGAATATACAGTTAAGTAGACGATCACAAGTTAAACTGTCTGTCGTTTAACTGTGTATTAAGTTTAAAGGAGACATTAACCAGATAAAAAACACTCAACACATTGGGACAAAATAAATGCTTGTTTAATTTTGAATCTTTTTGTGCAACAACATTGTCTGACTCTTAGGTGGTTAATACTTTCCCCAAAGAGTTATATTTTCTTTACAATCAACGTTTTGTTCGCTAGGTGTCACTTGTTCGTGGTCAGTATTTATTTAATAACGTCAAATATTCTTGCATTTTCTTAGATTTCGCTACAATGACGTCGCAAATGAAAACACGGCCGGTGTTTTTGCAGATTGGTAAAATAAAAGATGACTTGTGCCTACAAATCGTCTAAAGATCATAAGAGAACTAGGCAAGCCTCGCTGTTTAAATTTAAAACAAAATTACCATCTTGAAAGTTGAAATGTCGTATTACACTCGATGCAGTGTCTTCTATACTGTAATGTTAACATTAGAATTTATAATATTTAGGATTTCTTTCTATTATCTGCGGTATTTTATCAGAAATGTTTTGTAAAAAGCGAAGCGTGGACACAGGATCTGTATTTCAATCAGATTGTTTCTTTTCCTGACATAACACTTTAACGATTTCCTGACACAGTGGCGGATCCAGAACTTTTTGTAAGGGGGGGCCCGCTGACTGACCTAAGGGGGGGGGGGGGGGGGCGCTCCAGTCACGCTCCAGTGATTCCCTATATAATCAACCAAATTTTCCCACGAAAAGGGGGGGGGGGGGGGGGCGGGCCACACAGCCCCCCCCCCCCCCCCCCTGGATCCGCCTATGTGACATAACACTTTAACGATCTTGACATATCACTTTAACGATTTCCTGATATATCACTTTAACGATTTCCTGACATAACACTTTAACGATTTCCTGACATAACACTTTAACGATTTCCTGACATAACACTTTAACGATTAACATGAGAAGCGAAGTCAATATTTTAATGAAAAATTCGCATGATAGTTAATGCAGAGTAATCTAGATCACCCTTCAGCCTTGCATACTATTTTTCTTTTATAGCTACTTTCCTAATGCTTGTTGTTTAAAGGTTTGATTGGCTTGCTTCCTTTGTTTGTATAAATGTTTGCTCAAGCATTGTAATTAAGATTGACATAATGTATAATGTATAATGTTAATGGATGTTAAGTATAATGTAAACAAGCTGAAGCCCCGCCTATCTATTGATTGCAGATGTCAATCTTAATTACAATGCTTGAGCAAACATTTATACAAACTAAGCAAGCAAGCAACCAAACTTTTAAACAACAAGCATTAGGAAAATAGCTCTAAAGATTTTAAATATTTAAGTTTTTCGGAGACTAAAAAATTCAAAATTTCATGTGTTAAATTATAGGCGGCATTTCTAAAATAATGAGATTAACGTGATGAAAATTCAAATATGATTACTTTAAATGCTTCTTACATCCAAACTACTATACGACTTGTAAATATATTATCTTATAGATTATTATGTTATCATTTGTTAGGGAAGTAATACAGATTAAAACTTTCTATCGGTGTAATCGCTTAGTAAAGCTTGTGTTGTATATAGTGGAAATGTATTAATTTTACTTTGAAAGAAAGCCTTTGTATTTGTATATCTGTATGGGTGTTATACATATACATGTAGTATTAACTGATATATAATTTATTTACAATTTACAAAAAAAAAAACAAAAAAAAAAGTCTACACCAGGCTACATGTATCTGGGTAAATTATTCTTAAAATCGAATATACAAAATAATGTACGGTGTTTCATATTTTATAAAGATATTATATTTATCTACACATGATTATAGTTTCTATTGATACCTTTTCGATATCCTCTGGTGTTATCTTCCATTCTTTGTCTAGTGTTGTGTTAACAATGATTGGTTTATGGTGAGACAGTCTTGCTTGGGGATGGTATGTTGTCCAAGATGGTGATATTATCAATACGTCTATAAATATAAAATCTTTTTTAGAAATTCCTTCCTGTTCAGTTTACAAATAGAGGAATTGATACAATCAACATCAGCAACGTTCTACATCACAAGGAGGTAACATCTAAAATTCCACTTTATTTTCAAAATCAGTCTGTTCCTATTGTATCCTACAGATACACCAAAACCATTGCACCCAAAGTATTTAACAATAAACAAGCATTGCAGGACATTGATTTAGAACAATACCTAAAAAAAACCACTGACATGTGACTGTTCCCTCTCGCCTTATATTTACAGCCCCTCTGACCATTGTTATTACTGGGGATCTAAACATTATTCAACATGAACATCTTCGAAAGGTGATATCTCATGGTCCTAAGTTTAGAGAACCCCAACACATCAATTGGAACCATAACTTCAAAATAATTATGGAATCCATTGAGGACTACGCCAGAGCATGGACTAAACGAGAAGAAGTTGAACTGGACACTTTGTCAGAATGGGTCAAAACAATCAGGTCTCTGATAAAACCTCGCATTCATAAGTTGAAAAACTGTGTGAATGATCAACCAAAGTCCGTTTTCAGAGACAAAGAGGCTGTGAAATGTCTATTATCTCTTCACGATAAGTATGTTGTTGTTCCTGCGGACAAAGCTTCAAATAATATTGTCTTTGTATGTAAATCGTACTACTACGAGTGTCTTGTAAAAGAATTAGGAATAAATGAGCACTCAGGTAATTCCACATACAAAAACATATCATTTGACAAGGATGAGATTTTGGCGAATCATAAGTCCTTCATGGCTTCAATGAACATTACATTGAACAGCAAATCGGAGGACTTACCTTGTTTGTATTGGATACCTAAGCTTCACAAAATTCCGTACAAACAACGGTACATTGCTGGCTCATCTGCATGTTCGACTAAAGAATTGTCCATTAGATTAACAAAAATTCTGTCCGCAGTGAAAGAGGGTCTTCAGAAATATCGTGAAACTGTTTATTCGTGTAGTGGTATTAACCATATGTGGATTCTAAAAAACTCGAAAGAACTTCTGGATAATTTTAAATCTCGATCTTTTTCTGAAAACTTTTGATTTTTCAATTCTGTATACCACCATTCCCCATGTGAAATTGAAAAATCGTCTGAAAGAAATAATCCTCAATGCTTTTCAACATAAAAATGGTAGCATACACTATAAATTTATTACTTTGGGATACCATACGGCATATTTTGTTAATAGTGAACAAAAAGGTAAAACATGCTACACAGAGGAACAAGTGCTCAGTATGCTGGAGTTTCTTATTGACAACATATTTGTTGAATTTGGAGGTAGACTTTTTTAACAAATTGTCGTCATTCCTATGGGACGAACTGTGCGCCTCTCCTTGCCGACCTCTTCTTATTTTCATATAAGTCGGAGTTCCTTCAGACAGTTGTCAAAAACAAGAAGATCAAAGAAGCCAGGTAATTTAATTTCACATTCAGATATATTGATGATGTTCTTTCCATTAACAATCCAAATTTTCTGATTGGGTTCCATTAATATATCCCCCAGAACTAGAAATTAAAGAAACAACAGACACGGCTTCCTCCGCCTCATTTTTAGACTTATACCTCGAATTTGACATACACGGTCATCTCAGTACCAGAATCTATGACAAACGAGACGATTTTAATTTTGAAGTTATCTATTTCCCCCACCTTAGTAGCAATATACCAACTACACCTGCATATGGGATATACATTTCCCAACTTATTCGGTATTCAAGAGCTTGCAGCTGCTACTCAGACTTTGTAAAACGTCACCAGTGTCTGAGCAGAAAGTTGATGAACCAGGGGTATGTCAAAGAACGTCTCGTCCTTTTTCTAAAATAAGTTCATCGGAAGGTACCAAGACTTTGATGATAAATATTCCGTATCAACTTCACAAATAATACACGATGGTCTTGGAGTATAGATTCTGGGTACTGACGTTGTTTATCATCTTAATAACGTGTTATAGTATTCTTTTATTTGTCTTTTTGAATATTACTTTTACTGTTTAGTCTATTTTTGGTGTTATTCATTTGACGTGGCTCGGTACTTATACATCCCGTCGTTGTGTTATTGTGCTATGGTAAATTTTTGTATTCTTGTCTTTCATTTTTGCTTATTTTGCTTTGTCTATATGCCTTTTTGTGTTTATTTGTTACATATTTGTTTGTTTTCATAGCGATTAAGATTATAACACAATGTTGACTTTTGTACCCCTATATTTGACATTTTTACCTATTATGTCTGTTTGTTTTGTTCACACATCATAGTCAATATAATGGCATTTAATGCGACTGTCATACAAGTGAGAGGTTTAGCTAGCTATAAAACCAGGTTTAATCCACCATTTTCTACATTAGAAAATGCCTGTACAAAGTCAGGAATATGACAGTTGTTATCCATTTGTCTGATATGTTTGAGCTTTTGATTTTGCCGTTTGGTTGGGGACTTTCCGTTTTGAATTTTCCTCGGAGTTCGGTATTTTTGTTATTTTACTTTTTTAGGATTCTATGATTGCATTAACATTAAAATGGCTAATGATGAATGTGAAGATCGATATTGTTCTTTTGTGAGCGAGTGCGGAGATTTAATTTTAATTAGATTGGTTTTTGTTTTGTATGTTTTTAGTATCTAAAAATGCATTCTGCATAAATATCTTAAATTTAAGGTTGAACATTTATACTGGTTACAAAAATTTAATACTAACTTAAACTACGTCTTGCGTAATCAATAATACAATTTACTAGATTTGCCTTTTTTATTTGGTATTTGAACAATAAAATAATAAAAGAGTCTTCTTCATATAAATTCTTCAGCGTGATCTCTTGATTCGATACAAATTGTAATTTTTACTTTATTTTAAAAGTGTTCCCGTTGTTAGGAATGAATGTGACAAATGAAATGAATTATTTAAAAGAAAGAGAGCTGCAAAAATAGTGTCATCCTTCATGATGACAGTCACTTCAATCTCTTCAGTTACAATTTAGATGGATGATAAAGTCATGCTTTTCTCATACAGCTTATGGCGTCTTTACACTTAATTCATTGAATGTGTACTGATTGATACTTTAGTCTTGGATAAAATTATTTCTTTGTTAGTTGTGTAATTGGCTTTGAACTAGCTTGAAATTGCTTTTGTCTTTGGTTTTTATGTTAATTGATCTGTTAGATTAAGCCATTTCCAACTGATTTTAACACTTTGTTCTTAGGTTGTGCTGTTACAACGCTGTCCAATGGTTGGGGAGGTTTGAGCGCTCAGAATTTAGCTTATCTTGACAAACTATTAATGTGCATATCAGGAGCCTGGTAATTCAGTGGTTGTCGTTGGTTACTGTCTCTCGTTAAATGTTTTGTAACAAATCGGGCCGTTGGTTTTCTCGTTTGAATTGTTTCCGACATTTTGCCATCCCGGGGCCATTACTAGCTGACTATAGCTGACTATACGGTGTGGTGTTGCCTATTGCTGAAGGTCATACGGTTGGTTTCCTATATAGATGATTATAGCCACGTCATTTGGACAGTTGTGTAATTGTCACTCATAACACATCTCAATGATACTTTATATAATAGACATTTCCGGGATGTTACAAATGTTTATTTTTTTTTATTTTTAGAGTATTGCATTTAAATAGGAATAACAGTACCGTTGCCATCTTTTTTTTTAAATCGGATTGTCGCAATATAAAAACACTTCTCCGATTTGTACTTTGGGAGAGAGGGAAAAAGTATTCCGTCTGAAAAATAGTCCATTCTCCACTTTTAAAGTGAAATACTAGTAGTCGTTCCATTGCATAATAAACTAAATTTGTTGATACAAATTACAAAATTCAACTTTTAATCACTATCCTACCTCCATTAAAAATCTGTAACAGGAGAAATATAAGTTCTTTACTACCAGGGGCTACTATAATAGTGTCTGGATCGATATCTAAATCTTCGAAGTGTTTATGGAATTTCGCTATCGATTGCCGAAGTTCCAATGTTCCTGAAATTAAAATCATAAAACGTGCAGGTCATTATCGTTTTTCATGCTTCCACAAAATGGACAGTTATTAATGACATAAGAATAAAGGATTACTGGGCCCATTTGAAGTCCGTTTTGAACTTTACCGTAACTTTATTTATATGTACCAAAACAGGCTACAATATGTCGATACAAGGTCGTGTTCTTCTCCGAATGTTAATGACGTCTTTATTATACACTAAATCTATTGGATGTAAGATGTGTACTGATTAATAGATCTATTTTAGTCTAAGACACATGATTTTTAATCAGTTGTTATTGGCTTTAAACTAGCTTTCAGTAACTGCGAGTACTCTCAGGTCTGTACTTTGTGTCTTTTGTGTTTTTGTTTGTGTTTATATATGCTTTGTATTGATCTGATGAGTTAAGCCCTTTTCAACTGATATTTATAGTTTGTTCTTATATTGTACTGTGCACATCACTGTTCCAGGTCAGGAGAGGGTTGGCATCTTCAAACATGTTTAACCCCGCCACATTTATATGTACCAGTCCAAAATCAGAAGCCTGTCGTTTGTTGCTGTATATCTTATTTGTTTTCCGTTTAATGTATTATACATTAATTAGGCCACTAGTTTTCTCTATGAATTGTTTTAATAAATGTCATTTCGGGGTCTTTTATGCGGTATGAGTTTCGCTCATTGTTGAAGGCCGAACGGTGACCTATAGTTATTAACTTCTATGTATTTTGGTGTCTGGTGGAGTGTTGTCTCATTGGCAATCATGTAACACATCTTATTTTTATATTTGGACCATGTGATTTTACGTCTTTTTTTTTCCGGAGCAGTCCGGTGTTTCTTTTGTGGATGGTGTGGTTTGTTGCATGGTCAATTTTTTTTGGTAAATACTGTTATTTCTTGACACGTTGTTTTGTATTATTTATTTTTTATCATGTGTTTACGCCGGCAAAACAGCATTTTATTTCATATGCGTACAGTATATGTTAGTAACTGATTCTTACTTCCACATGTGATCACACAAATTTTTACGCGTATTTACTTTCTTATGGATACCAGTTGATAACTATTTCTTAAGCCTGTATTCAATCTGATATCTGTGTTTAATTCAATATGTGTATCCGATTAACGACAAGGACATTTTAAACAAACGTAATAAACCCAAACGTGATAAAAATATTGACTTTTGTACAAAAGACACAGATAGGTAAAATGCAGTGTATATGGTATAAAAAAGCTGATAAGCTGTATATGTAATGGTAACTAAGAGTTGGCTATTCAGTTCACAAGTACTCGGTTACTGGGTACAATTTTAACAATCGTATAATTTTTTCTTCTTTGTAGTTCATTTTTAACAAATTATTACCGTCTACACCAAAGACATTTCAAATAAATATGTGTTTTACCAATTCACCATATATTAACTAAATACATGCGTATATAGAAAAAAAAAAAAACCATTTACTATTACAATGCACGATATGCCAAAAAGCATGTAAAATAGAATCCATAGCTTGTGACGACTGCGACAAGTGGACACACAGAAACTGCATTAGTATGTCAACATCGGAATACAGCAACCTAGGCAAAAGCGAAGACACATGGACTTGCCCATCTTGCTGCAAACCAAACAATTCTTCAACAAAAATATATCTTTTACCAAATGGAGATGACAGCAAGCACTCAACACTAAATATATCAACCAATCCATTAATGGCAGACAGTATATCAGAAGCATCAATACCATCAACATCAGGATCAAGCATTAATTCACCATCATTCAACACAACATCTTTCAGCACAGATATACCGATCATGACATCATCACCAAAACCAACTAAAACCAAGCCAGCCATTAAAAAGCAGTTAAGAATATTAAACATCAATTTTCAAAGTCTCAGAAAAAAGGGTAAACTACTTGAAGCAATTATCGAGTCAACTGAGCCAGACGTAATAATAGGCACGGAAACATGGCTTGATCCAAACATCAAATCAAGTGAGATCATACCAGACTACTTCCACTATGACACGGAACGCCGAGATCGCCCAAAAGACTCCCACGGAGGGGTAATGATAGCAGCTAAACAAACATTACAGCTGGGTAACATCATAAAAAGCACAGATATAGAACTACTGACTGGCACTATTAACTTAGAAGGAAAAAAAGAAAATACTTATAGGCGCATTTTATCGACCACCTGATAAAACAGACGACACCTATCGAATAAAATGAAAGAAGAAATAAATAACATCAGAGCAAAACATCAAAAAGATATATTCCTTATTGGTGGTGATTTCAACTTACCAGATATTAACTGGGCGGAACAAACTATAGAACATCGACAGTATCCTACCAGAACCAACCAGGCTTTCTTAGAACTTGTAGCGGACAACGGGCTAGAACAAATTGTGGACTTTCCAACACGCAAAGAGAACACCTTAGATTTATTGCTTACCTCTCATCCATCATTTAAATTAAGATGCAAACCATTACCATCAATAGGAAACAGCGACCATGACATCGTCCTAGATATGGCTTGCAAACCACTTAAACCTAAACCAGTCAGAAGAAAAATATTCCTATGGAAAAAAGCTGAAATACATAAAATAAAGGAAGACCTACAAAACTTCATAACTACTTTCAAAAATATCAAAGATAGAAGCGTTGAGTCATTATGGCAGGCATTCAAAACAGCTGTACAAACCAGCATAGAGAAAAGAGTACCACCAAAAATGACTCAAGGAAGAAACACTCATCCATTGATTAATACAACCATTAGACGCAAAATTAACCAAAAACAAAAAGCACACAAGAAGGCTAGGAAAACTAAAAAGAAAAGAGACAAGGATAGGTATAAAAGACTACAACAAGAAATTCAGTGGGAAGTCCGGCAAGCCAACAAGAAATATATGGAAGAAGTCAGCTCCGACTATAAAGATAACGCAAAGAAATTCTGGTCTTACACCAAGAGCAAAGGTCAAGAATGGACAGGAGTGGCACCGTTAAAAAACAAAATGGGATTTCTGCAAAGTGACAACAAGAGCAAAGCTGACATTCTAAACGACCAATTCCAGTCAGTATTTACCAAAGAAAACCTAAATAACTTCCCAGATAAAGGAAGAAGTCCATACTCCACCATGAAGGACATAAAAATTAGCACCAACGGAGTCCACAAATTGTTAAAAAACCTGAAACCTCACAAAGCTACTGGTCCTGACTCAATACCATCCTTTATACTTAAAGCAGTAGCAGAACAACTTGCTCCTATACTCACAGACCTATACCAAGCATCACTGAACACTGGCGAAGTCCCGCAAGATTGGAGAGATGCCCATGTAGTTCCACTTTTCAAAAAAGACGAAAGGCACTTAGCATCTAATTACAGACCAGTATCTCTAACTTCCATCACATGTAAAGTCTTAGAACATATTGTACATAGCAACATCATGGACCACTTTGACAAAAATAAAATACTAACTGATGCACAACACGGATTCCGCAAAAGACGATCATGTGAATCCCAACTCATCATAACCATCAACGACATTGCATCAAAATTAAAAAGCAGCAGCCAAGTAGACATCATCCTGCTAGACTTTGCAAAAGCATTTGACAAGGTACCACATCACCGCCTACTACACAAGCTGGCATACTATGGCGTCAACCCCAAAACCAACAAATGGATTCGCTCTTTCCTACATAACAGAAAGCAGAGCGTAATACTTGAGGGAGCCGTCTCCACACAAGTACCAGTACTCTCTGGTGTACCCAAAGGCACAGTCCTTGGTCCATTACTGTTCCTGGCCTACATTAACGACATGCCAGAAACAGCATATACATCAGAAACCAAATTATTCGCGGATGACAGCCTTCTCTTTCGTACCATCACCAACCAAGCAGACAGTGAATTTCTCCAGAAAGACTTATTATCAGCATTGGAAGACTGGGAAAACAAATGGCAGATGAGTTTCAATGGCAAAAAATGCCTTGTCATTAGAATATCACCAAAAAATCGACCAGTGATACAAACATCATACCAACTACACGGTCATACTCTAGACACAGTGGAAGCGAGCAAATATCTTGGAGTAACCACCAGCAACAACCTAACCTGGGACAAACACATAGACAATACAGTAGGCAAAGGTAATAGAACGTTGGGATTTATACGTAGAAATCTCAAAGGCTGTACAAAACCTGTAAAGGCAGCTGCATATGTATCCATGGTAAGACCTGCAGTGGAATATGCATGCACAGTATGGGACCCAACAACCCAACATAAAATCAAGGCAATTGAACAGGTACAGAAAAGAGCAGCACGATTTGTGAATAACAACTACACAGACCGAACACCTGGCTGTGTCACAAATATGGTCAAAAATCTAAAATGGGAAAGCTTAGAAGAACGGAGGAAAACAAACAGACTATGCATGCTATTCAAGATCCAGCATGATCTTATAGACCGTCACCAATATTTAACCCCAAATGATAACCGGACCAGAGGTAAAAACCGCTTCTACCAAGAAAGAACAAGTACAGACGCCTACGGCCAATCTTTCTTCCCGAGGACCATCAGGGATTGGAACAACTTACCAACATCAGTTTCATCGGCCAACACCGTTGAGGGATTCAGAGCTGCCCTTAAGGCATGCTCTGAAAGGAAGTAGGAAACACCAGTTGTACATAATTTTTAATTGTATAATATTGCGAACGTTTTAAATGTAATTTGTAAATAGCCAAGAGAGAACTTTTTGTGTTGCCCGACACTGCGTAAAGTTTTCGCGCGGATCCAATAACATTCAATTTTGAATCCGGTTCCTTACCTGGAAGAAGAAAAAGAATACACATGCGTATATAGAAAAAACATTTGCCAATTGTTAGTTTTAAAGGAGCACTAGCTACGAGATATATAAAAAATCTAAAGTATGATTTTTTTTTGTTCAATCATTAATGAAAGTGAAAAAGTGAAATAATAATTCGCTTTTAGCAGCCAGTATGGTTCAATTTGGTCAAAATAAGCTAAGAAACATTGATGATGAATTATTCACTTGCAAGTGAATAATTCGACCTCATTGAATCCGTATTCATGTGAACTTCAATTTAACCCCTTAGCTAGAGATGGATAACGCATGCATTGTGCATGTTAAGTTATTTAAAGGAAAAGAATGTCAACATTGAAAGTGAAACAAAGGTAAATCATTTGATTTACTGATTCGATCCACAAAAAAATCATTCTTACACAGGTAAAAACGATGATTAACATATATTTTTAATCTATAATATGAAATTAAACAGACCTAGAAAAATACAGTAACACGAGTTCACTTTCTATTTATATCTTAGTATATTTATGTTTATATCGCTTATATGACCATCGGAGGTATTCGTCAACTCTATAGTTAATTAGATGGCGTCAAGACTAAAATACATACGAAACGAAGCTACATTTTATCGATGCCCTGTAATTTGTTTATTTTAGACTTTTTATAATTTGGATAAATGTTTTACATGGTTATAAATCAAATATGAGAATTTGAGTCAAATCGGTGAACATGAGTTTGACAGCTAACTGCCCCTTTAAGTACTTTTGATAACGAGAATAATATTCTAATAATAGAAGCGACATACTCATTAAATATGCAATAAGGCAAGTAATGTATATACCGGCTAAAATTATGCGCCTCAATGTAAGAAAGAAAATTTCATCACATAAGTTTTTAATAGACGTGTTAGGAAAGGGATTTAAATACTGCGCTGATGTTAAATACCAATACCGATACAAGATTTAAGTGTGGACTTTCTCAAAGTGCAATTGCATTGAAAGGTATCCCTGAGTTGTATAATAGTTTAGCTTTAACGTCGACTCCAATTTTTTTAAGAAGTGCATTGACCTTACGTAGATCTTCATACATTCATTTGTATTTGTTTGATTTGGGAGTGCAAAACAAAACTTTAAAAAAAATATGTAAGGGTCAAGAATGGAAATGGCGGATTTTACGGCCACAAGTGCAAATATATACATTAAGTAATATGAGTAGAATATGTAAGGTTGTCTTGCTGAGCATCGTTTTAAAAAACCACTTTCCACGAGCCGTAATTGATTCGTATTGCTTACTACTATCTCCGGTATGAATGCAATACAGAAGGAAAAAAGAATGGACGGATGGACCCATCCAACCATCACTATATACGGTCCAATTTAGAAAGCGGAGAGTATAGTGAATATTAGGTAGAACAAAATGATGGAATTCGAAAAAAAAATTGCCCGACATATAATTTAGCAGGCTTTGCAAGAGGTGAAAACGAATATTCCATTATCAAAATATCCTTCAGACCCAAAGATAATAAAATTAACTTCTTCATGAAAGCCATTTTCAACAATATCTCAATTTAATCGTGGTATTCTGTTTTTTTGGTGGAGGAAGCTGTGTTACCAAGAAAAAAAAATTCCGACCCTTCACCGAAACGTAAATTTAACATGCTATAACCTCTTCTGTCCGAAAAACTAACTGACAAAAGTTAATTGAAAGAAAATGTCAGTTAAAATGTGAATAAGAATAATTAATTCACACATTTTAACGGGTTTTGTTTTAGGTATTGTCGCTTTTAGCATTACATTAAATTGCCAGAGTGACCTTTCTAGATAGAATAAAAAGATAAAGATTATCAAATTGAAATAGCTTTTGTTTCATTCCTTTATTTTATGCCCCACCTACGATAGTAGAAAGGCATTATGTTTTTCTGTCAGTGCGTCCGTTCGTTCGTTCGTTCGTTCGTTCGTTCGTTCGTTCGTCCGTTCGTTCGTTCGTCCGTCCGTACGTCCGTCTGTCCCGCTTCAGGTTAAAGTTTTTGGTCAAGGTAGTTTTTGATGAAGTTGAAGTCCAATCAACTTGAAACTTAGTACACATGTTCCCTATGATATGATCTTTCTAATTTTAATGCAAAATTAGAGTTTTGACCCCAATTTCACGGTCCACTGAACATAGAAAATGATAGTGCGAGTGGGGCATCCGTGTACTCTGGACACATTCTTGTTTTTAATTGTCAAGTACACAAATTTCTAGGTTTTTTATTAGAATTTTAAGCTACACATTTCTCTAAACTGGAAAATGATGTAAACTAAGGAGATGTGGTATGATTGCCAAAGTAGGCAACTATCTACCAAATGACGCAAATTTTTGCCGCTAGAGGTCACCGTATGCCCCCCTCCCCCCCCCCCCCCCCCCAAAAAAAAAAAAAAAAAAGAAAAAAAGGAGCAAGATCCCGTATAAATGCTTTGAAAGGTATATCTTAAATAAATTTCAAATAAGCGACCATTTTGAACAAAGATTGACGTAGAGTAAACATCGGATTCGGATGTGATTTGATTACAGTGTTTTTTTTATTCATTTATTTTGATCACTTTGCAGATTTTTCTTGTAGTCGTTCATCAACATAGTAAGAAATGGGGGAACAACGATCTTAAACGTATTCGATCATTATTACTAATCAAGGCAATTTTATGATAATATTAATAATTATCGTGTTGTTTTGTGCTGGATCCTCCTCGGTGTAAATTGTTACAAAAATGTATTATCTAGTTGTATAAAAATCATCTCAGAATTATCAAACAAACCCATACAGGTAACCTTAATGGATGACTACCTGGGCTTTTTGAGATGGTCCCCACAATAGCCTGTAGTGGTATTGGTATTTAACATCAGCGTCAAAATCGTATTGACTTTCCTAACACGTCTAATAAAAATATAAAAATCAATTTTACCTGCAACTGGCAAATAAGCATTTTCTCCTGCGTACTCCTTCAGGGCCTCAACAGCTGTTTCAATGACAGGAAATGGTGACTGACCGAAAGCAAAGTGGTATATGGTTTCTCCTGCAGCTAATCTTTTCCGAATTTCTTCATTTAAAGACAGATTTGACGCTGGAGAATAGTTCTGTAGGTCGGGTCTTACAAGATCGGCCATTATTGTCACTTTCGGCTCCGTGGTCACTATATCGATTGCAATGTGTGCGACGTATTCACTCAAATCTTTATCTTACACTTGAACTTGTTTAAATGTTAGTTAAGCAAAATAAGGATAAGGGGTCAACAGCTAATCATCGCTGGGGACGTGTCGTCATCGCTGAGCACGTTAGTCCACGGAGAGGACGCCAAGGAGAGATAACTGTGTCTGTATTATATATTTGAGATGTGTCATAGTTATCTCGCTTTAGATAAGTTTTAGGTTGACGGCTTATAACAAGAGATTTTAACATGTGTGAAGTAACATGAGGTTTTATAATTTTTTTTTAAATAACTCTCTAAATAAAGTTTCCATGAGACAGCAACCAAACTGTAATCGAAAAAGATGTTATGTAATATTTAAAATTACAAAGAAAGAAAACAAATATATACTGTATTAAATACCGTGACTTGACAGCGATTTCAGCATAAATATGCAAGCCTTTGTAAATCTTCTTCTTCTTCTAAAACAATTATAAATTTCAATATAATTTTTAAATGTATATTTTGAAATCGTCCTTTGGCAAAAATATCTGAACAATCTTATAGTATGTCCTCATATACCATATACAATGTACAAACAACTATACCTTCTCGATCATCTATTTTCTATGCCAAAAAAATCAATCAGGGTAGACAAAATTATGACTTTTTTCTACAAGTATTTGAAACATTCCTGAGCTTGATTTGGTTTTTTTTAAATTTCGACTGAAAGGTCAATACCGCTAATAGAAGGTATAACCAACGTCTTCAGCATGGATTTATTTTGATTTTCACTAAACACTCCATAAATGTTCATCATATGTATACTATCCAAACGTCCTGAGGGTGGATTTATTGAGAGGACTACTGTTTATTTGTTATAATTTTAAGTAATAGAATGTTCATAGCAGGGATGCATATTCAACATCCTGAGTTTTGATTTTTCTGATGTCCACTGAAAAGTCCTGTTATGACCATAAAAGGTGCGCCTTTCCAACGTCCTGAGCTTGGATTTATTCTGATGTACTTTAAAAATTGACTATAAAGTCATATACTGTGAATAAAAAAAGAAGATGAGGTATGATTGCCAATGAGACAACTCTCCAAAAGAGACCAAAATGACATAGGAATTAACAGCTATAGGTCATCGTAAAGCCTTAAACAATGAGAAAAAGCCCATACCGCATAGTCAGCTATAAAAGGCCCCGAAATCACAAATGTAAAACAATTCAAACGAGAAAACTAACGGCCTAATTCATGTGCAAAGAGATTCTGTTATCGACTGGTAAGTATGATATGGTCATAGAAAATATACACAACCAATGTCCTGAGTGTGGATTTATTTTGTTATCGAAAAGTCGTATTAATATGCTCATACAAGGTATGTATATCAAAAGTCCTAACCTTGGATTGATTCTGATGTCCAGTAAAAAGTCATATAATGGTCATAGAAGATTGGAACATTTAACGTCCTGGGCGTAGATTAATTCTGATGTCCACTAAAAGTCATATGGTGGTCATAAAAGATTGGCAAATCGAACGTCCTGAGCGTGGATTAATTTTGATGTCCTCTAAAAAGTCATATAATGGTCATAGAAGATTGGCACATCCAACGTCCTGAGCGTGGATTAATTCTGATGTCCACTAAAAAGTCATATAATGGTCATAGAAGATTGGCACATCCAACGTCCTGAACGTGGATTAAATCTAATGGCCTCTGAAAATTCATATAATGGACAGAGAAGATTGGCACATCCAACGTCCTGAGCGTGGATTAATTCTGATGTCCACTAAAAAGTCATGTAATTATCATAGAAGATTAGCACATCCAACGTCCTGAGCGTGGATTAATTCTAATGGCCACTTAAAAGTCATAAAATGGTTATAGCAGATTGGCACAACCAACGTCCTGAGCGTGGATTAATTCTGATGGCCACCAAAAAGTCATATAATGGTCATAGAAGATTGGCACATCCAATGTCCTGAGCGTGGATTATTTTTGGTAGCCTCTGAAAATTCATATAATGGTCATAGAAGATTGGCACATCCAACGTCCTGAGCGTGGATTAATTCTGGTGTCCACTAAAAAGTCATATAATGGTCATAGAAGATGGGCACATCCAACGTCCTGAGCGTGGATTAATTCTGATGTCCACTAAAAAGTCATATAATAGTCATAGAAGATTGGCACATTCAACGTCTTGAGCCTGGATTAATTCTGATGTCCACTAAAAAGTCATATAATGGTCATAGAAGATTGGCACATCCAACGTCCTGAGCGTGGATTCATTCTGATGGCCTCTGAAAATTCATATAATGGTCATAGAAGATTGGCACATCCAACGTCCTGAGCGTGGATTAATTCTAATGGCCACTAAAAAGTCATATAATGGTTATAGCAGATTGGCTCATCCAACGTCCTGAGCGTGGATTAATTTTGAAGGCCACTTAAAATTCATATAATGGTCATAGAAGATTGGCACATCCAACGTCCTCAGCGTGGATTAATTCTGATGTCCACTAAAAAGTCATATAATGGTCATAGAAGATTGACAAATCCAACGTCCTGAGCGTGGATTAATTCTGATGGCCTCTAAAAAGTCATATAATGGTTATAGAAGATTGGCACATCCAACGTCCTGAGCGTGGATATATTCTGATGTACATTGAAAAGTAAACTAATATAATAGTCAAAGATTGACACACCCATCGTCTTGAGCATGCATTAATTCTGTTGTCCACTAAAAAGTCATATAATGGTCATAGAACATTGGCACATCCAACGTCCTGAGCGTGAATTAATTCTGATGGCCACTAAAAAGACATAAAACTGTCATAGCAGATTGGCACATCCAACGTCCTGAGCGTGGATTAATTCTGATGGCCACTAAAAAGTCATATAATGGTCATAGAAGATTGGCACATCCAACGTCCTCAGCGTGAATTAATTCTGATGGCCACTAAAAGGTCATATAATGGTTAAATAAGATTGGCACCTCCAACTTCTGAGTGTGGATTAATTCTGGTGTCCACTAAAAAGTCATATAATGGTCATAGAAGATTGGCCCATCCAACGTCCTGAGCGTGGATTAATTCTGATGTCCAATAAAAAGTCATATAATTATCATAGAAGATTGGCACATCCAATGTCCTGAGCGTGGATTAATTCTAATGGCCATTAAAAAGGCATATAATAGTCATAGAAGATTGGCATATCCAACGTCCTGAGCGTGGATTAATTCTGATGGCCTCTGAAAATTCATATAATGGTCATAGACGATTGGCACATCCAACGTCCTGAGCGTGGATTAATTCTGGTGGCCACTAAAAAGTCATATAATGGTCATAGAAGATTGGCACATCCAACGTCCTGAGCGTGGATTAATTCTAATGGCCACTAAAAAGTCATATAATGGTCATAGAAAATTGGCACATCCAACGTCCTGAGCGTGGATTAATTCTAATGGCCACTAAAAAGTCATATAATGGTTAAAGCAGATTGGCACATCCAACGTCCTGAGCATGGATTAATTCTGATGGCCACTAAAAAGTCATATAATGGTCATAGAAGATTGGCACATCCAACGTCCTGAGCGTGGATTAATTCTGATGGCTTCTGAAAATTCATTTAATGGTCATAGACGATTGGCACATCCAACGTCCTGAACATGGATTAATTCTGGTGTACATTGAAAAGTAAACTAATATAATAGTCAAAGATTGGCACACCCATCGTCTTGAGCGTGCATTAATTCTGATGTCCACTAAAAAGTCATATAATGGTCATAGAACATTGGCACATCCAACGTCCTGAGCGTGAATTAATTCTGATGGCCACTAAAAAGACATAAAATGGTCATAGCAGATTGGCACATCCAACGTCCTGAGCGTGGATCAATTCTGATGGCCACTAAAAAGTCATATAATGGTCATAGAAGATTGGCACACCCAACGTCCTCAGCGTGAATTAATTCTGATGGCCACTAAAAGGTCATATAATCGTTAAATAAGATTGGCACCTCCAACTTCTGAGCGTGGATAAATTCTGGTGTCAACTAAAAAGTCATATAATGGTCATAGAAGATTGGCACATCCAACGTCCTGAGCGTGGATTAATTCTGATGTCCAATAAAAAGTCATATAATTATCATAGAAGATTGGCACATCCAATGTCCTGAGAGTGGATTAATTCTAATGGCCACTAAAAAGGCATATAATAGTCATAGAAGATTGGCATATCCAACGTCCTGAGGGTGGATTAATTCTGATGGCCAATAAAGTCATATAATGGTCATAGAAGATTGGCACATCCAACGTCCAGAGCGTGGATTAATTCTGATGGCCTCTGAAAATTCATATAATGGTCATAGACGATTGGCACATCCAACGTCCTGAGCGTGGATTAATTCTGGTGACCACTAAAAAGTCATATAATGGTCATTGAACATTGGCACATCCAACGTCCTGAGCGTGGATTAATTCTAATGGCCACTAAAAAGTCATATAATGGTTAAAGCTGATTGGCACATCCAACGTTCTGAGCGTGGATTAATTCTTATGGCCTCTGAAAATTCAAAAAATGGTCATAGAAGATTGGCACATCCAACGTCCTGAGCGTGGATTAATTCTGGTGTCCACTAAAAAGTCATATAATGGTCATAGAACATTGGCACATCCAACGTCCTGAGCGTGGATTAATTTTAATGGCCTTTGAAAATTCATATAATGGTCATAGAAGATTGGCACATCCAACGTCCTGAGCATGGATTAATTCTGGTGTCCACTAAAAAGTCATATAATGGTCATAGAACATTGGCACATTCAACGTCCTGAGCGTGGATTAATTCTGATTCTACTAAAAAGTCATATAATTATCATAGAAGATTGGCACATCAAACGTCCTGAGCGTGTATTAATTCTAATGGCCACTAAAAAGTCATATAATGGTTATAGCAGATTGGCACATCCAACGTCCTGAGCGTGGATTAATTCTGATGGCCACTAAAAAGTCATATAATGGTCATAGAAGATTGGCACATCCAACGTCCTGAGCGTGGATTAATTCTGGTGGCCTCTGAAAATTCATATAATGGTTATAGAACATTGGCCCATCCAACGTCCTGAGCGTGGATTAATTCTGGTGTTCACTAAAAAGTCATATAATGGTCATAGAACATTA